ACTCCTCGACTGGTATGCCACAGACACCCTCCCCTTTATCTGCGTACCGGGGGAAGCATTCAGCGAGCACAGGACGTAAGTCATCACCTTTCCCTCCATTCTTGCCCGGTTCTGAACATTTTATTAGACGCATTCAATGGCTCAATCCTTAGTAGACTCACAAAGGACGATGATGAAGATGAGGAGTAAATGTAGATTTATGATGCGGTATTTTTGTTTAAGATCATGTCTATTGCTATCGATGTTTCTGCGTTCCTCCACCGTGCAATTGATAGAGTCACTCGCAAATGTGGGAATATTTGCAGTGTGCAGTTTGCGTGCAGGCATCCTTTTAATGACCACGCGCATCGCACATGCCCGCTAATCTAGTGATGTCTCTAGTGAGTCAAGCGTGTCTTGTTCCTTGTGATCCACATCATGCATGGTGCGTACTTGGGCCTTCATATCTCACTCACTAACATATCGACTGATTTAGGACAGTGATTGCCGCCTATCTTCATGTCTATCAGGCCGTTACTTCAAGCAGCCCTTCTGGGTATGCCGTGAGACTACTGGCGGCGGTGGACCGACACGTGTGATCTAAATGTTCCACTTGAGATCATATAATGGTGCACGAGACCACAGCATTCCCTGGCATGAGTACAGAAAGTGCCAATCTGAGAGAATAAATGAGAGGCATGTTCTTCAGGAGGGTCACTGATTATCTATCTGCAGATGATTCTAATCCATGTTTGTGACATTGCTGTGTCGATGGAAAAAAAAACTCAAATAGGGTCACTTGCGCCTCAGGTAGGGACAAAAGGGAACGAAGAATCGGCACGAGCGTTCACGTTGCATCCTACAGATCTTATCAGTAAGTTAAATTCAGTGAGTACAAACGAGATGAATTGTATTCCTCCCTTTTCAAACCAACCACTTCTGTTTTTGTTCCTGTTTCTTTCGACAGACATGATGACTGCAGCGGCTACTCGGACTTTTTCAATTCCAAGACCATCTGAGGCCGACTTCCGCCGACTTCACAATGCAAGGCATGAAGAAATTGCCAGAGCTTTGGACATGGATACTGATGATTTCATGGAGTTCAAGGTACCCATGTTCTCTTGCGTCATTTTCCTGCTGAAGCCAACATTCGGAATACAGAAACAAGTGCGCGAGAAGATATACGCATCGCTCGATCACTCGAAGAAATTTGATGAACAAGATCCTTCAGCGTGGCGAAGATTTGTACAATGGGTAAGTCAATCTGTTCACTGCTGCGGTGCTTTAGTGATTCTAACATCTACTTTTAAGGCTTATGAAGCCATGCCCTCCCTGATTTCGAAATATGAAGACGCTTGGCCGGTTGAATTATACGTGAAAATCAGCCTCAGCAAGCGTGTTGCACTCGATCGCCACCGATTCAGAAAGGCAGTGGCGAAGTATAAACGGATGGTGGCCCCGAGGTCCCCTTCTCTCGTAGTACGTTGGTTCTTCGCCTTCCCTCCTTCTGTCCACTCATTATGTACAACAGGGTGAAGCGGAGATGTCACCGGCCGACCTGCCGCCACCCTACGATGAGGAAGATCGAGCCACAGTTAGTGAGACTCCTGATGCAGGCATGCATCCGGACGCTGCTCCCGACAACATCGAGAAATTTTTGAGATCCTGTGACTTTGATCTCGGGCATCTCACTAGTGCTTTCGTCACCCGACGAGCAGGTCTTTTCAATTTGGAAAGGCTGGAACTTCTCGCATCGTGGCCTGCCGCCTTAAGACGCGACCACTTAGAGAGACACTTTGGCACTATGCTCGATGACGTCGAGATAGAGGTTTTGAACAAGCGGTTTGTCGAGATGAGCCATGCGCAAATCTAACTTTGGGTTGAAGTCACTAGATTTGTATGCAAAAACGAGATGCAAATTATGCTATCTACTTTAACTGATTATCTTGCAATCGATGTGTTGTTCGCTGATTCGGTGCATTTGCTGCCTCGTTTGTGACTCCCTCGCCTAGATGTAAGTATGTCCGATGATTCAGTACGTACTCGGGAGTCAGCGGACAATGTAAACTGCGGTGAGGACATGGGCCTCGGTCCTTGGCGTAACCAATTTGCATTCAGAACAAAGGCTGGAGGGGTTTTCCCAATGAAGCTTCCATTGAAACGGCGACTGATAGAAGATATTTGACTGGATAAACTTGGAATAAACGATATAAACGCAGGACCGTGTAGCCTAAGTGGTAGCTTATTATGTCAGTATCAGTACCTTTTGATCCTTGTTCTTTGAACTTCTGGCCCGACCTGACCAGACCGGTGTCCTGACCGAGTTGCCAACTCATGTTGTGCTAGCTGCGGAAGGAGTACTTCAGTTCTTCATAGGAATAGGATCACCGAAAGTTCTTGCGGTGCAGTCGTTTTTTGAAGAGAAGACTCGGCGAGATGCGCGGCGTTACTACTAGTAAGTAACGGCGATACTTCGCAAGGCCTGGTGGCACCGCACCTTCAAGCCAAGTTCCAGCTTCAAGAATCAAGATGTAATAACCCGACACACGGTAAAACAATTTTGATGTAACTTAAGTCATGCGTTGCACTGAATTCGTGCGGTGGAATATCGACGTATCTTGAGAAGTCTAGTCACTTGAATTAAATTTGGGATGTGGCGGATATTAATAGTCGTATTCTTATGGCAGAACTCCGAACCCCGCATGCTTCCAGTTATGTTCCACCACTGCAGGTCACGAAAGTTGTAGCTGGCGAATATGCTCTGGGTGACATCAAGATTCAAGTTACGACAGGAGAGCATCATGAAAGCCTGCAAAATATTGGTTTAGTTTCTCATTCTTCATGACTTCACCCGCTCTAACATTTTCAATTGTATGGTAGCCTAGGATGACTTTAGAAAGGCGAATGCTGCCATGTTCTCCGGATATACCATGAGAATGGACAAATAGAGCCAGTGAGTGACTTATGCTACCGATGTTGAACCAGCGTAGTCAAGTCGTTCCTTCTTTTTCAAGCCGACGGACCGGACACCGTGCTGGCAGTGGATCAGTGTTAGGAACGGTATGATATGCAAGGCACATAAATCCTATAAAGACTGAGAGAGTTCATTGTTTCTCGACAGCAACACCATGGCCCATGCAGAGCTTGACCGTCTACAAGCATGTTTGAACTTCGCGCTTGACACACTCCGCAAGGAGATGGACAACTCTCAGCTTCCTCCCCTGAGCCAACAAAGCTCAGTAGAACACCCATTGGATGACTCAACAAAATACCTACCTAGTACGGGGTTGTTTGAAGCTCGCCGTCTCTCTTTAGGTACGTCATGTTTGCTCTGGATGCCCCAATGCATAACTCTAATTATCCATCAGCATGTCTGGTTGGTTATTAACTGAGCCCCTTTTATTCATCTGAGTACCTCTTCTAGGGAGAGCTAAAGAACCTGATCCAGTCGCCTTTGGATAAGTGCATGGAAGAGAGGTTCGCAGTATATGGTGTTGCCTGCACCGACACCCTTATCAAGACCGGCATCATCGACTACTTGTCCGATGCGCCGAACCCCTCCCAAGGTGTCCCGGCCGCTGAACTGGCCTCAAAGTTTGAACTTGATTCTCAAAAACTCGTTCCCATTCTCCGCTGCTGTGCAGCCAGCGGTTGGGTCAGGGAGACCCGTGATTCTTCATTTGCTTTGAACAGATGCTCGCGCACTTTCATTGAAGGCAATGCTGGTCGAAAACTAAACTTTTCGTATGTTTTTCACTGCATCAGCGCTTGCCAAGGCTAAATATCGAGCAGTATGCCTGGGTTTATGTCGATGATAGAAACTATACCACACTGGGTGGCGGAATCTGATTGGAAACTATCGCGTTCTCCAGAGCAGACTGCTTTTCAAATCGCGTTCAACACACCCTTATTGGCATTCTCTTGGATTGTGGAAAATCCAGATGTCCTCGTTCCAATTGCGGATCATCTTCAAGTCAGTTGTTCCGTGAGAGAATTACAGAGCACTTACCGGACTTTTACTGTTCTAGGTCTTTGGTGACATGTCTACACCGAGTATCGTGGCAGACTACCCATGGGAACAGTTGCAAACCCCCGTCATCGTTGATTGTGGAGGGGGCGAGGGCGGTCTAATTTCGTCCATTCTAGATGCGTAGGTTGGCGTACGTATTCCTTTTCTGGAGGTATCTCAATTATGACAGGCATCCTTCCTTCCGAGCCATCGTGCAAGACATGGAGAATGTAGTCCCACTGACAACTTCGATTATGGAAGAACGACGCCCTCGCGACATTGAAAATGGTGCAATCAAGGTGGAAGCCCACGACTTTTTCCAGCCTCAGCCCCGGATCGGAAACGAGTATAGCTTTATCTTACGTCATATAATGTAAGTACTCGTTCCCCTTAACCTGAATTTGCTGATACCAGTCTTGTGCCAAAGGCATGATTGGCCAGATAAAGAAGCGGTCAGTGTAGCACATCCTTCAATGACATAGCTAACTTTGACTCAGGCAATGATACTGGGAAATGTAGCCCGTGCACTGGGTCCTAAGGTCAACAGCCAAATTTACAGATCAATGTGTTATGTCTGATGCATTTTACAGTCCAAGATACTCATCGTTGACATGGTAGCTGTTCCGAATGTAGATTCGGCTGCTACAACGAGCGTCAAATCCTTGATGCCTAGTGGCGGAACTAAAGGTCCTGACTACACCATCCCATCGCACTTTGGTTCAGCGTCTAAAATCGTAAGCGGTTCTTCTGTGCACATGCTGACCGTGATAAACGGTTGTGAGAGGTCTTTGGTGCGTGCGGAACATTGTTTGACGATATGTTACTGAAGATTAAACAGCGTGAGTGGGAGAAATTGGTGAAGGGGTGCGGGCTCCGTATCACGAACGTTTACCCGCTGCGAGCTCACACTTCCATTATTGAATGTGCACTTGATACACGAGCATTGCTGTAAAAGAATCCCGGAGTAATGACACATCGAGATTTCCCGCGTCGCTTCTTTTTCCCCAAGGCGGATTTAGATAGTAAAGTCGCCTTTTCCGAAAAACTTCGCGTGGCCCTTGAGCCTGACAAGACCTTTGTCCTGATCCCAAGTCACCCACAGCTCTCCTTCACGTGTGCTCACTTGACGAACATACATCTCCTCCTGATTCTTCTTTCCGAGTCGAGTCGCCCAGTAAGGTACGAGCAGCGTGTGCGCGCTTCCACAGACATGATCTTCAGGGATACCTTCTGCAGGCGCAAATACACGCGAGACGAAGACCTGATCATCGTTAGGCGTCAAGTTCGTGATAATATTGGTACCGTAAGAAGTTTTGCGCTACTCATGCATATTTTTTTTAGATTATGGTCCACTTATGTGGAATTGAGTGCCTACCAGAACATCGGTGTCTAGTTTCATATTTCCTATGTTTTCATCTGGACCAACGATGATCATCAAGTACTTGCGATTGCCCATCTTGCCTTCGCCTTCGGCGGCATACTCCACCTGTACATTCCTACCAGCGGCTTCACTGACTACACTTGTAATCCTGTCCATCTCCACGTCCGAAATCGTGACGAATGTAGTTGCGGGCAGCACGATCTCATACTTTTCCTCATTAGACCCACTCTCTGTGACGCTGCATGCAGAAAAAATCGTGCCTGCCTTTGTGCGCAGCTTCACTTCTGAACCAAATTGACCAAGGGATGGCAGAGCGTTCGTGCATAGCGCCCTGACTGCAGCCAACATCCCATGTCCGCAGAAGGGTGGCGCAAAGGTCCCGTTATAGAAGCGGACATCAAGGAGTGTGGAATCATCTGATGATGGCGAGAGGAAGATTGACATAGGCTGCGCGAATGCGAGACTGGTCTTAATCATAGTCTCTTCGCTAAATGTTTGGGGTTGGGAAAGAGAGCTTGGTGGGAGAGCGATGATCACAGCTGGATTACCCCCAAAGGACGTACGCGTGAATGCGTTTATGATGACATAGGGAAAGGTGGGCATGTTGTCTGACGAGGATATAGTGATATGTTGATCAAGTGGGCTTGATGGCTTTTATAGAGATAAGCGCGGTGCCGGGAGGCACATGACTCGCTCGAATCAGACCATTAGAAGAAGACAGTCTCAATAATGACACGACAAATTAAAGTCATCTAGACATCTATGATCGCATGCATCAAACTGAGTATGATTTTCTAACAGTGTCTCCTTCGTCCTAACAGAATTAGAGGTCGTACACTGTAGTTGTCCATAGGCAGTAATAAAATCATTTGCTAAGCATTCTGCAGACAGCGGTACTCCAAAAAAATCACTTCTCCAGCTTCAACTCCTATGGCCTAGTTCTGAAGAACTGGTATCGCACTTTTGGAAAATCATATATACCATGCCTTTTGTGAGCCCGCTGCGAGCTCACAAGAACTTCCATATGTTATTGAATTCACGAGTAAATATTGCTCTAGATCTAAAAGAAACCCGGAGTAATGACACATCGAGATTTCCCGCGTCATTTCTTTTCCCCCAAGGCGGATTGACACACAAATTTGATTTAGATAGTAAAGTCACCTTTTCCAAAAGCCTTCGCGTGGCCCTTGAGCCTGACAAGACCTTTATCCTGATCCCAAACCACCCATAGCTCTCCTCCACGCGGGCTCACCTGACGAACGTACATCTCCTGATTCTTCTTTCCAAGTCGAGTCGCCCAGTATGGTACGAGCAGCGTGTGCGCGCTTCCACAAACATGATCTTCAGGCATACCTGCTACAGGTGCAAACATACGCGAGACGAAGACCTGATCAGCGTCAGGCGTAACGTTTGTGATAATATTGACAGTGTAAGAAGTTTTGCGCTACTCATTCATGTTTTAGATGATGGTCCACTTATGTGGAATTGTGTGCTTACCAGAACATCGGTGTCTAGTTTCATATCGCCTATGTTTTCGTCTGGGCCAACGACGATCATCAAGTAATCGCCAACGTTGCTTTTGCCTTTAGCTGCATACTCCACCTGTACATTCCTTCCGGCGGCTTCGCTGACTACACTTGCAATCCTATCCGTCTCCACGTCCGGAATCGTGACGACTGGTACTGCGGGAAGCGAGATCTCGTACTTTTCCTCATCAGACCCACTCTCTGTGACCTTGCATGCAGAAATTATCGTGCCTGCCTTCGTGCGCAACTTCACTTCTGGACCCAATTGACCAAGGGATGGCAGAGTATTCGTACATAGCGCCTTGACTGCAGCCAACATCGCATGTCCACAGATAACTGGCGCAACGGTCCCGTTATAGAAGCGGACATCAAGGAGTGTGGAATCATCTGGAGATGGCGAGAGGAAGATTGACATGGGCTGCGCGAATGCGAGACTGATTTTAGTCATAGTCTCTTCGCTGAATGTTTGGGGTTGTGAAAGAGAGTTTGGTGGGAGAGCGACGATCATAGCTGGATTACCTCCGAAGGACGTACGCGTGAATGCGTTTATGATGACATAGGGAAAGGTGGGCATGTTGTCTGACGAGGATATAGTGATATGTTGATCAAGTGGGCTTGATGGCTTTTATAGAGATAAGCGCGGTGCCGGGAGGCACATGACTCGAGTCAGTTCGCTCGAGTCAGACTATTAGAGGAACACAATCTTAATAATGACACGACATCATCATACTCACTGGAGCCGTGGCTGCACGCTGTGCTACGCTGGAAAGGTCCCCTCTGAGACCTGCACTTGCGCTTGTGTTTCCGCTGTAAAGAAGCGTCATATTTTGGAGGTAAGTGTTAGCGGTATTATACATCAGTTCAAGTTGTGTGATCCGGTTATTCTTAGGATTGTCGTATGGAAGTCTAGGTAAACGATCCTGGCAGGAGTACAGCACTTTGTTCGTGGCGACATGCTGGAGACAGTTCCACGACTGACTTGGTGTCTGTTTTAGCCTAATTACTAAACTGTTGGCGAATTACCATATTCACACAGTTTGTACAACAGCAGCAATTCTCTTTGGTTGATCTTTCCCCCGATGTCGAGCTTGAAATTTGTGAACGATATATGATGCACAGCATCGACATGATACGCAGCACGAGACCATGTCTGCCGCCAGACCTAATATCAGCATTTCGTGAGATACGTAACAAACCGATTCTTATACATTCACTACTACGTCGAGTAAAGGAATAAGGGCAACATACTCCGCTCGCAGCACATTCGTCACTGTCACCTGACCACCGAAAATCAGGCGTTCCAGGGGACACTTTGACCGTGCAAAAAGATTCATCAACTGCTCATGAGGCCATGCACTATTGTAAGTGCAGTGAGCCTCAAACACACGCAATTTGGGGAGTGATAAAGCATCGAATAGGCCAGCTAGCCCAGAGTCACAATAAGCCATGCACAAGAATTGGATGTTGGTGTGCGTAAATGGCTCCAAGGTCCATTGTTCGTGGAATACTATACGAACCGTCAACGAGGAGAGGTTGGGACATAGGCGGAGCAAGTGGAGGGATGCATCCGGAAAAAGTAGGGTGATATTGACCTGTGTCAGGTGGGCCAATACGGGATTGAGAGAAGATACAAGCTGGATGTCAAACGGCGACGATGTCATGACATCGAGAACGCGCATCGTGGACGGGAGTCGAGAGATAGATTGCGCCACAGTTGGAATGTCAGAACCCCTCCCCATCCCTATTACGACGAGCTCTCGAAGTGCTGGCACGTCTTGTAACAAAAGTTCTAGCCGGCCCACTCGTCGGGAAAAATTTATGGAGAGAAACGAGATTTGACTGCTGTAAGGTCGAAGAAGGCTTCTTAAGAACCTGGTTGAGTGGCAGCGTTCGAGCACTAATGAGAGCGGACGTCCTCGTGATCGCTTGAGCCAGGAGTCATAGCAGAAAGCTGCCCGCATGTTGTTGACTTCTACATCCGACTCTTCATCTAACTCTTCCCAGTCGCTGTCATCGCTGTCGTCGAGATCATCTTCTTGCCCGACTCCGTTGATGTTGATGTCCACATGCAACCTGCACCATAAACTGGGCATATCCACAGCAACGTCCCTCCATGGTCGGCATATTCTGGTCAACAGCACGGGGGCTAGGTTTGAAGGCGGGTGACAAGTATTGGTCTTCCGGAAGACATTGATGAAAAATTTGGGATAAGACTTCAGTTGGCAAACGCCAGAGAGCCGATCCGAGTCCCTTGTGGAAAGTCATGGACTGGATGATCTTCTCCTTTCGATCAACGAGTTGCTGGTGCAAAATTTTGATGCCATCTATGACCGTTTCCAGACCTGAGATGTCGCGCAACACTGCATCTAGCTGCTGTTGACGTTCGGTGAGGATGGCGCTGATGCTCTCGCTGTTGGGCCCGATGGTAGGGTGGTCGATATTCGGGACGCTAGATCGGGAGTATGGGGTGTCGAGGTCTGGCATCTGCTATTAATGATCAATATCACATCGGATACATCCACATAGACATACAAAAACTTGTGAGCGCAGCTAAAGCGAATAGTTATTATTTGCAGAGAGAATGGAAACATCGGCACTTACGATGTTCTGCAGTGCATCAATGATGTCCGAGGCCGATGAGAGATTGTCGAAGTTTGAGTTGACTGTCTGCATATTGTTTGCTAGCGTGCGCTTATAGGTCACGAAACGAAGTTCGAGTAAGAACGAATGAAGGAGTTAGTTTTAGTGTTGCCGCCGAGGCGAGGCGAATCGAATCGAGGTGGAAAATTCAGGTAAATCGACACGCAGTTCAGACTAACGAGTTGAAACGAGTTGTACCTCAGGATTCGGAAAACGAGTTCGGAGCGATACGGACCGGGAGTCCAGGCTATGTTAGGATTCTGCATGCCGGCAACGACGATTATTTGCAAGTTACTAGCTATAGTACACAACCAGCAAATATAATCAATGTTCTTTGCATTCCATTTTGCTTCGTTCTTCTCAGTCACCACTTCCCTTCAATCCAACATACCCTATGACAAGCTCATACAAGAGCGGGTGAAGCTGATCGTAGATTCGTAGCCCAGGCTTCAACGCGTCCGTAAAGGTAAGAAACTTATGCACTACTGATTATACAGCGAAAGACACTAATGAAAACCATCTACCTCTTCGATCAATCAACTTCCCATTCGTAAGTAGTATGCCAACTTGTGTGCGGTGCAGCAATTCTCTTTGGTTGATATTTCCCCCGACTCCGAGCTTGAAATTTGTGAACAATATATAATGTACAGCATCGACATGATACGCAGCACGAGACCATGTCTGCCGCCAGACCTAATATCAGCATTTCGTGAGATGCATAACAAACCGATTCTTATACATTTACTACTACGTCGAGGGAAGGAATAAGGGCAACATACTCTGCTCGCGGCACATCCGTCACTGTCACCCGACCACCGAAAATCAGGCGCTCCAGGGGACACTTTGACCGTGCAAAAAGATTCATCAACTGCTCATGAGGCCATGCACTATTATAAGCGCAGTAAGCCTCAAACACACGCAAATTGGGGAATGATAAAGCATCGAACAGGCCAGCTAAACAAATTAGGAACATTCGAGAGTTATGATAAGACATGTACAAGGATTGGATGTTGGTGTGTGTGAATGGCTCCAAGGTCCGTTGGTCGTGGAATATTGTAAGAACCGTCAAAGAGGAGAGGTTGGGACATAGACGGAGCAAGTGGAGAAATGCATCCGGATGAGTTAGGTTGATCTTGACCTGTGTCAGGTGGGCCCATACGGGATTGAGAGAAGATACGCCACGGATGTTGAACGGCAAATTCATGACATCGAGAACGCGCATTGTAGACGGAATTTGTGAGATAGATTGTGCCATAGTCAGAATGGTAGAATTCCCCATCCATATTGTGACCAGCTCTTGAAGTGCTGGCACGTCTTTTAACAAAGATTCTACCCCGTCCGCTCGTCGGGAAAAATTTATGGAGAGAGACAGGATTTGATTGCTGTATGGCTGAAGAAGGCTTCTTAAGAGCCAGGTTGAGTGGTAGTATCCGAGCACTAATGAGAGCGGATGTCCTTGTGATCGCTTGAGCCATGAGTCATAGCAGAAAGCTGCTCGCTGCCAGGCTCTGTCGACTTCTACAACTGACTCTTCCCAGTCGCTGTCGTCACTGTCATCGCTATAATCGCTGTCGTCGAAATCCTCTTCTTCTTCTTGCCCAACTTTGTTGATGTTAATGTTCACATGCAACCTGCACCATAAACTAGGCATATCCACAGCAACATCCCTCCATGGTCGGCATATTCTGGTCAACAGCATGGGGGCCCGGTTTGAGGCGGGTGACAAGTATTTGTCTTCCGGAAGACATTGATGAAAAATTTGGGATAAGACTTCAGTTGGCAAGCGCCAGAGAGCCGATCTGAGTCCCTTGTGGAAAGTCATGGACTGGATGATCTTCTCCTTTCGATCAACGAGTTGCTGGTGCAAAATTTTGATGCCATCTATGACCGTTTCCAGACCTGAGATGTCGCGCAACACTGCATCTAGCTGCTGCTGACGTTCGGTGAGGATGGCGCTGATGCTCTCACTGTTGGGCTCGATGGTAGGGTGGTTGATATTCGGGACGCTAGCTCGGGAGTATGGGATATCGAGGTCTGGCATCTGCTATTAATGATCAGTATCACATCGGATACATCCACATAGACATACAAAAACTTGTGAGCGCAGCTAAAGCGAATAGTTATTATTTGCAGAGAGAATGGAAACATCGGCACTTACGATGTTCTGCAGTGCATCAATGATGTCTGAGGCCGATGAGAGATTGTCGAAGTTTGAGTTGACTGTCTGCATATTGTTTGCTAGCGTGCACGTGTAGGTCAAGAAACGAAGTTCGAGTAAGAACGAACGGAGGGCGAGTCGAATCAAATCGAGGGGGAAAATTCAGGTAAATCGACACGCGGTTCAGACTAACGGGTTGAAACGAATTGTATCTATTCGGAAGCGAGTTCGGAGCGATACGGACCGGGAGTCCAGGCTTGTAGGGATTCTGGCATTGATTCTGCATACCGACGACGATTATTTGCAAGTTACTAGCTATAGTACACAACCAGGCTCCAGCAGACATAATCAATGTCCTTTGCATTCCATTTTGCTTCGTTCTTCTCAGTCATCACTTCCCTTCAATCCAACATACCCTATGACAAGAGCGGGTGAAGCTGATCGTAGCCCAGGCTTCAACGTGTCCGTATTATCGACGACTCCGTAAAGGTGAGAGACTTATGCACTACCTGATTATACAGCGAAAGACACTAATGAAAACCATCTACCTCTTCGATTGATGACTTCCCATTCGTAGGTATGCCAACTTGTGTGCGGTGCGATGCTGCAGCCGCATAATCCATGCGATATCATGCCATGGACAGAGTCCTTGACGAGCTTAAGCATGGCCATACATCGCGAGAGAAGACGCGTGCACGCAGTAGAGTACTGTTTCTTGCAACGTATGTACTATGTATATTTCATTAAATCTGACAGACATTCGACCTAGGATTGAAAAGTACTATGCTGCAGTACTTACAGCACGGACGTAGGCACGACCATCGTGCTATATATGGGCGACGGCGGGGGAGCGTTTTTGCTCATCCATATACGTTTCAAAGAGGCATCCAGTATCAAACCAAATCATACTCACCCGAGTTGTCACGGTGGCTGCACGCTGTGGTACGCTGGTATGGAGGAGAGCCATTCTAAATTTTGCACTTGCACTTGTGTTCCCGCTGCCATATTGTGGAGAGGATGAGTGTCAGTGGTATTATACATCAATTCAAGTCGTGTGTGATCCGGCCATTCTTAGGATTGTCAGGGGAAAGTCTAGGCTGACGGTCACTGTAGCAGTACAGTCCTTAATTCGTAGCGACACGCTGGAGACAGTTCCACGACAGGCTTGGTATCTGAGGTCTGATGTTTCAGTCTAATTGACTGTTGGCGAATTATCATATTCATACAGTTTGTACAACAGCAGGAATTCTCTTTGATTGATCTTTCCCCTGATTCCGAGCTTGAAATTTGTGAACGATATATGATGTACAGCATCGACACGATACGCAGCACGAGACCATGTCTACCGCCAGACCTAATATCAGCATTTCGCGAGATGCATAACAACCGGTTCTTATACATTCACTACCACATCGAGGGAAGGAATGAGGGCAACATACTCTGCTCGCGGCACATCCATCTCCAACATGCAGTTACTGAAAATCAGGCGCTCCAGGGGACACTTTGATCGTGCAAAAAGATCCCTCAGTTGCTCATGAGGCCATGGAGAGTGGTAAGAGCAGCGAGCTTCAAGCACGCGCAAATTGGGGAGTGATAGAGCATCGAACAGGTCACCTAAAGGGTTTGGCATCATCCCGAGGTTATTACAATCAATGAGTATTAAGGATTGAATGTTGGTGTGCGTGAATAACACCAAGGCCCGTTGGTGAAAGAATGCTGCAACAACCGTCAACGAGGAGAGGTTGGGACATAGACGGAGCAAGTGGAGAAATGCACTCGCATGGAGTAGGGTGATCTTGACCTGTGTCAGGTGGGCCCAAACGGGATTGAGAGAATATATGTGAAGGGCGTCGAACGGCGAATCCATGACGTCGAAGGGAGAATCCATGATCTCGAGAACGCGCATTGTAGACGGAAGTTGCGAGATAGATTTTGCCACATATCTAATATCAAAACTGTTCATCCCCAGTATGACCAGCTCTCGAAGCGCTGGCACGTTTTTTAGCAAAAGTTCTAGCTGGCCCGCTCGTCGGGAAAATTTTATGGAGAGAAACGAGATTTGATTACTGTAAGGTTGAAGAAGGCTTCTTAAGAGCCTGGTTGAGAGGTAGCGTTCGAGCACTAATGAGAGTGGATATCCTCGTGATCGCTTGAGCCAGGAGTCATAGAAGAAAGTCGCCCGCTGCCAGGCTATCAGGGTTTCCTCATTTTCCTCTTGCCCGATGTCGATTTTCACATGCAACCTGCACCATAAACTGGGCATATCTACAGCTACGTCCCTCCATGGTCGGCATATTCTGGTCAACAGCATGGGGGCCAAGTTTGATGCGGGTGACAAGTATCGGTCTTCCGGAAGACAACAGTGAAAAATGTGGGACAAGACTTCAGTTGGCAAGCGCCAGATAGCTGGTTCAAGTCCCTTGTGGACAGTCATGGACTGGATGATCTTCTCCTTCCGTTCGACGAGTTGCTGGTGAAAAATTTTGATGCCATTCATGACCGTTTCCAGACCTGAGATGTTGCACAACACTGTATCCAGCTGTTGCTGGCGTTCATCGATAGGGATGGCGCTGATCTTGCTGTTGAGCTCCGAGTCGATGGTAGGGTGGTCGATATTCTGGACGCTGGGTCGGGAGTACGGGGTGTCGAGGTCTGGCATCTACAAATAATTAATATCGCATCATATACATCCACATAGACATACAAATGCTTGTGAGCGCAGCTGAAGCGAATAGTTGTTATTCACAGAGAGAATGAAAATATCGGCACTTACGATGTTCTGCAGTGCATCAATGATGTCTGATGCCGATGAGAGATTGTCTAAGTTTGAGTCGACTGTCTGCATATTGTTTGCTAGCGTGTAGGTCAAGACACGAAGTTCGAAGAACGAAGGAGTCAGTTTTTCGAGTTTAACCTCCTTTATATGGTCGAGTTCCTACTATGTGCGGGCTTACCTCAGGGTCTAGTATCCTTGCCCTAGTGGCATGCGCTCTCCTAGCGCCCCCGGCATGACGCACATTCTGAGCAATCTTGCAAATGCCTTGCCAGGCGGGCTTTTAGGAGGTCTTCGCCGTCGTCACAATACTCGTCACCCACCCACTTCGATCGGAGTCTACAAATAATTCAACTTTCCTTTCTAGTAATAAACCAAATCCATGTAAACAGGACTCTTGTTCAAATAAGGAACTCAACGCCTTACTAGTTACTACCAGCTTCTCTCGAATGTCACAGAATGTTATTGGTCGCCATTCAACCAAACACCGGGTAACTTCTAGAAGACACTCGTATCGCTATGGCCATGATAGACGTTCGTTAGATATGGTCACGGACGTATATATAAATGCTGGTCAGAGTCGCTCAGACTCCAGCAAACTCATCCAACAACCACCAAAGCATGTTCTCTCGACATCTGCTATCTCTGCGCTTAATCGTATCTCTAGTGCGCATAATCTATGATCCCTTCACCGAGTTCGGCAAGCTATATGACGATGTTTTCAATGCTCGTTTTCGTCCCTCCCATACCATCGAGGGCAATACTACCTTGACTCAGTGCGGTGATTGGGCGTTTCCCAGGTGAGTATAATACACCTTTCAATGTGTTTACGGAACTGACTCGTACTAACACAGGCTGGACCTGCACGAGAATGCTGAGATCAAAACAGTCTCTGCAACATTCAAACTTCCTGGTATCAAACAACAGGATGTCAACGTCGAGGTCCATGGAAATCACCTGACCATATCTAGGGAGTCGAAACGCTCGGGAGTCGGATAATCATAACAAGGGCAGCTATGCGGTGCAGGAGTGCTCATGTGGCAAGTTCTCCAGGACCCTTCAAATTCGTCAGGGAATTAAGGCGAGTACATTGGCAATGTGAATTCCGTGTAGCCATCTGGCACTCGTGGTTATCGTACCGTGCTGGTTGAGGATGTCCACGCCAAGATGGAGAATGGAGCCTTACCGTATGCTTCCCGAAGGCTGGGCCAGACCACCAACCCCAGCGGATTGCGATCGCGTGAACACGCGGTGGTATCTGCTTGGCTCAATCCATTGTCGTTTCAAATCTGTATCATTAGGACATCGCGAAGGTGGAAAAGTAATAGTGCATCTGTACAATCGTGAATACCGGGCTCACCTGATCTTTCTTTGAATCGAAGTACTTCAATCATGACGTGCAATAGCTAGGAGTGAACACAATAGAAAACATCATATTGAGAATTCTGCTCGAAGTTGGCTTTTGATATCTATATGCACGTAGTCGCAGATGAGACGGTTGCATAAATAAGCAAATAAAGATGTACTGCGTAACAAGTACTACAAGTCATAGTAATTAGGCCAACTAGGATCTACTACTACTTTAAGGGAAGGAATAAGATCAATGTACTCCGCTCGTTGCTCATCTGTTGTAGTCACCCGAGCGCCTACAACTAAGCTCTCCAGGAGGCACATCGACAGCGCCAAAAATGCCTTGAACTCTTCATGAGGCCATGGTTCTGTCTCCTTTGAAGAGTTGGTTTCAAGCACGCGCAGATTGGGGAGTGTGAGAGCTTTGAACAGATTCAATAATGAGTCTGTGTGCTTAAAGGCGACGGATAAGGATCGAAGGTTGTTGTGCGTGAGTTGCGGAAAGGGCCTGGAAGTTGCTGAACATTATCCCAATCATTAACGAGGAAAGGTTGGGACAAAGCGTAAGCAAGTTGAAAACCACGATTGGTTCAAGGGCCTCCATCACGACATTTGTCAGGTGCGTCCATGTGGGATTGTATGAAGATAACATTTGGTGGGTGAAACATGACCCTATGAACTTGAGACTGGTCACAGTCAACGGCGGTTGTGAGATGGATCGTCGAAGAGCCGTCAGATCCGATGTGACAATAGTTAGCTCACGAAGTGCTGGAAAATTGTCCCACAGAAGTCCATGTTGATCCTCTTCGCAAAAATGGATGCAAACAGACGATACTTGATTGACGTAAGGCTGAAGAAGGATTCGTATCTTGTCCGTGTCATATGGGCAGTCATTCCAGCAGAGTGTTAACGAGAGTGGACGTCCTTGTGATCGCTTGAGCCATGAGTCATAGCAAAAGGCTTGCCGCTCCCACTGGTCTCCGGGACAGAACAACAATGATGGCCTGCACCACAAACTGGGTGTGGCCACAGTGACCGCCCTCCATCGTTGACATACTCCCGTCAACAGCACGGGAGGGTCTAGCCCTGACGGTGGTTCCAATTCATCGATCCCTGGGAGACAGAGGTGAAAAATTTGGGACAGGACTTCGATTGGCAAGCGCCAGAGACCCGATATGAGCCCCTTGTGCAAAATCATCGATTGCGTGATCTTGTTCTTCTTTGCGAGCAGTTGCTGCTCAAGATTTTTGATACTATCCATGACGCTCTCCAAGCCCGAGATCTCGTGCAGAACTGTATCCAACTGCTGTTGGCGTTCGGTTATGATGGCGCCAATACTCTTTTCTTTGTGTGGGGTAGACTGATCGGTATTAGGAAATCTGGAATATGGACTTTCAAGGTTCGGAATCTAGTTATCATTAATAAATGACAATCGATGCGTCTCAAACGACATACTGTCACTTCTGAACGTGCCAGCTGGAGCGAATTAATGCAGACACGAGAGGTATAAAAATTGGCCACTTACGATGTCTTGCAGTGCACCAAGGATGTCCGAGACCCTGGATAGATTTGAGTTGGCAGTCATGCCCTCGATTGCCTGTAGGTTGTTTCCCAACTAGGTTTGAGGAAAAGGAAGCAAAAATTCAGTCTTGGAGGTTCACTCCAGCGCGTTGTAGGGAGTAGAAGAAATAATATTCATTTGGCGAAAGCCCAACTGAGAGAAGTGAAGTAACGATAAGGGAGAGTGATGGTAATGATAAGTTTTTGGGCGAAGGCGCGCAGCGCTTTCCGGCCCCAAGGGAAAGAGTCCAAACCTAAGGGAAGAAGAGGTGAGCTGCGATTCCCATACACCAGGAGTCCGACGACGCATCCAGCGAAACTCGGGTGCCCAGTTCTTAGGAGATGGACGAGGGTGACTTACATCTGCGTGTTTCAGTGTTGCGATCAGCGCACTGATGGGAGGGTGAAACGAAGGAATTGTTCTTGGATGTTGGGAGTGGCTTGCATATATGGGGCCAGGATCTGGGCGTGCCTCCGCAGGTACACGAGGAATGCATCGCTTGCCCAGCGTCCTTTAACTTTGACGACGTCGAAAGGAATGTTCCGTAGGAGGTATTCTAGGGTGGAACCGATGCGGATGCCGTGGCCGTGCACTGGTTTGCGACCCGCAGCTCTGGTTGCAGATGCTAGTCTGTTCAGGAACTTTGTCTTGGTGAGAGGACGGTGGGAGTCTTTGAACCTGTAAGAGAATAGCGCGGCATTCGCTGGAGGGTCGTTGATGCGGATATGGTTGTTGAAGGCTTCTTCAGGGTCTGAAGGGCCGTGCTGTTGTGCCCAGTGCACGTCTTCTCCTTCTAATGCTGACTTGGTGCGCGGAAGGTGGAAATTCTTCGTTAACAGGTTCTGTCTGTCTCGGACATCTGAGACGTTGTTGCGGGTGACGTGCAGGTTGGGGTCAAAGGAGTCGAGGCGGGGTACCGTGAATTCGCAGGTCCTTGCAGTGGCGTAAAAGGTCGTCGTTAGGCAAGAGAAAACTGACGCATCTAGTGGGTTATTGAGGTCTAGTTGGTCTCTTATGGCTGTGATTAGCTCGACGGTGTAAGGTTCGCGTTTGCTTGTTGTGCACTGGTTGGGGTGAGCGAGACGGTTGCTTTGAGTAATGTCTCGATTTGCATGTCATTAAGGTCCCAGGTGATGCTGTGGAGTACGTGCCATGCCCGCACACCGAAGATGTAATTGGCGATTGTTTTCCTGGAGTTCCCTGCCATGGCCGATATGAAAGATTCGATTAGGATGCTGCTAGCTGGGGCGCGTTGGGTCTCTGGAATGGATTTGCTGTCACAGAACACATGGTAAACGAGGAGGCCAGAGCCATAGGACTCGCGAGTCCCTTCTGAGTATCCATGTAGCATGACGTCGCGGATGCGTTGGATGTCAGAGGGTGCCAAGGGGACGAGTCTTCCTTGCGCGTCTTTGGTTGACCGAGAGGATTGTGGCAACCATAGATGGAGCCGATCCTTTGCGCTGCAGTGAGGACGGAGGGCAGATGGGATTGGAGTCAGGTCAGTGTTATACACTGTCATTTTGAGAAATGTGAGTGGCCGTTTCACGAGCCAAATAGCCTGTTCAACTTACTAGCCTTGCGACGCTTGGTGGAGCTCTTCTCCCCTCCGCTCAAACTCGCGGTTGATGAAAGCAGCGGCGTCGGAGCTCGAGGTCGAGGTGTTCTTTGCCCATTTCTCGAAGCGATTGACTGGTAGCGCGGCTTGGGGATGGGAAGTGGGAGTTTATGGCTGGGCCAGGTGGAGGAATTGGATGTGTCGAGTTCTGAGACGTTGGAGATGAATGCTTGGAGTTCACTTGGGATTGGGATTGGGGGAAGTGCATCACATGTGGGGGGATATATCCCTCTTGAGGGGCCGTCTGCTGGGTTTTCCTTGCTTGGGATGTATCGAGTAAGTACTGTGCATTTGGTACTCGCGACGACGTGATGAATGCGTTTGAAGATGGCATTAGTGGTGCGGCTGCGACTACACCCCTTCCACCATCCTTCCACAACCCCTCGATTGTCGCCGTATACTTTGAAATGAATCCCGGGGGGGCAGGCCTTGATGATAGTGCGAACGAGGAGTTCGAAGCCGACACTTTCTGCCCATCCAATGTCCCGTCCGTCTCGCTTCCAACCAGGTGTGAGGACCCAGGCTCTCCATCTGCCGTTGATGACGATTCCGATGCCATGACCAGAGCTAGCGTCCGAATAGGCGTTGAAGTCATGTACCACGCACGGTCCTGGGATGTGACGAATGAGGTTGGGGGAACTGAGGGTGCTTTTCCACCAGTTGATATCTTCGGGGGTGCTACGAGGGGGAGTTCTGGGCAGGTGTGGGTGCTCTCCGAATATACCCAGCATGCATTCCAGGCTCGTGAGGTAAGCGCGGCCCATCGGGATGATAAGGCAGGCATGCAGCAGTTTTCCGTAGAGTTTTTGGACCTCATGGAGTGTGTGGGTGCGTTTTGACTGCCACGTGTTGACCGCAGTGAGGTACCTGGCACGCTTCTCAGCTGATAAGGCCACTGTTCGGTCTTCAATGCTCCAGGTGAACCCAATGAATGGGGGGGTGGGGCTAAAGGGTTTGTCCTTCGATACCTCCCAGAAGATGCCGAGAAGTATGGAGAGGTGGTCAATGTCATCCATGCAAAAGGAAAATTGCAGGTCTTCACGTGATCGTGGTGAACGAGCTGATAAATCCAAGATGGGAAAGTACACAGTCTTCGTCGAACTCTTCTGTGGAGCCATTTGGCCATGTTGCTCCTTTAAACCATTTGCGCCCACCTTCAATGACGACACCCTCGTTGTTGGCAATGTCTTTGGCCCAGGTTTCACGTCGCTTATTGTACTCGGCCAGGTGTTCTTTTCTGATTCGGAAGAATAAGTGGTCATCGACCCATTTGGATAAAGGGCCAATTCCCTTGGCGCGAAAAATGTCTGCACCTGCATCTGCAACGGTTCCGTAGATTCCCGCTGATGGGCCGAACCCGAAGCAAAATGATGTGTCAACTGCAAAGGTGTCTTCCCCTGGGAGACGGATTGCCAGGCCTGGCCATTGAGACGAGTGCAAGGGGACTGTTCTGTATGCCTCTGCCACGTCTCGAACAGCTCCTTGCGACCCTGGAGGAAGACACCATATTGTTCTGCAGATGGTGGGGAAAGTTCCGTATGTGCAAGGAAAAAGATCGGAATCGACACGAGAATTAATGGAGCTAATGGGGGGAGAGGGTCTAATAGGGTATGATAGATTTTGAATGAGACGAAATCTTCCAGGCTTGCCTGGCTTCGGAATAATGGACAAAGGAGCTGTTTGGAATTTACCAATGATTGATTCGAGGGTTGCAGCATTAAAAGGGCCAATAAAACGACCCTTTGCAAATTCGTGACTGATGATGTTTGCAAAGGCTTCGGAGTGTTCCTCGACGGATGGGTTATTAGGTGGTGTGTATGTACAGGTAATGGGGGGGGGATCCCCCCAGAGAAACCAGATGCGAGACAAGCAGGGACAAAAGGGTATCTATGTATAAGGCCCGTCTCTTCGAGGAGACGTTGCCATTCAACTGGGTTATAAGGAGTGTGGGCCTTAAGCTTTCTCGCTTCGAGGGCACTTCTGGGCTCCGTGCTCCTTGCTTCCGCATCCTGAGCATTTGTGTGACAGCTCGTGGTTGGTGGCTTGGCAGCCTTCGGGGCGTTGCCACTTGAGGCAGAGAGGTAGGCCTTGGAGGTTGGTGATTCGGCCATCTTGGGCTCGACGACAGTGGCCATTGGATCCGTCCCATAAGTTGTGGGATTCGCACTTTTTGATGTCGTGTGCAAAGCGGCCCAGGCAGACTGCGCAGGCTGAACGGCCGCGTGAGCCTGCGCTGCGGGAAAAACCCCCACGTCGTTGACGGTTATGGGAGCTGCCCCGTGGGGATGGAGTTCTGCTTCTCCTCGACTCGGAGGTGCCGCGAGATGGGGAGCGTGAACGAGAGTTCCTGTAGCGGTACTCCTCGTGGCCAGAGTCTCTGGGATCACGATAGCTCGACCTCCGATTGTGGCTGTAAGTCGTTGGGGTTGCTCTGCTCGTGGGCTGTGGCACGTAACCACGTATGCCAGAAGGGTCGTGCATCCGCGTTGAACAAATTGCGGGCATTCGCGGGAGTGTCATCGCGAGCATCCGCGGGAATGTCATCGCGGGCGTTAAAGGATGGTTGTTGGCAGTTGAGCCGGGTGTAGGTTATGTTGGGGTGGGGGTGGAGGAAAAGGTTCCAAAGTTGGTAGGGAAAGAAACCGTTTGTTAGTGGAAAGGTTTAGACGTAGTATTTACATAGAGGGACCCACCACAATTAAAGCCCGAGAGCGAATCTTGTCCCATAACTCCTCGTTGATCACGCGGATGAGGTTCTCGTTAATCGATGCGATATTGAAGCCTTCGTTCCGTTTGAGCTTGTCATGCCAGTCTTGGCGAACACGGGAGGCGTAGTTGAGGATGACCAGGTCACCAATCTCGCTGTTGTTGCGGATGGTGTGATTCTCGAGGTGCCAGAAGAAAGGGACAGGGTGTCTATGTGGGTCTGGGGCCATTTGGCCTTGCTGATCTGGACGAGATACAGGTTCTTAGCCCGTAGGAAGGTGGAAAAGGATAGTTCGTGGTCGGCGAGGGCAGCTTTCGAAGCTTTGAAGGCTGACGCTGGACGGACAGTTAGTTGGTCGTCGATTCTGGTGAGGCCAAGGTCGTTCTCGGCGATGGACCGCGAGGTCTTCAAGGCTTCTTTGCAGCCGTCTGGTGAGAAATACCAGAGTTCTACGAACTCAAAGTTGGTGAGTTTCTGGATGGCATACTGAGCGGGTCGAGGGGATAGGAAGTCCCCTACTGATGCGGATTGGTCAAAACCATTCATCTTTGGTTTCTTTTTCTCCGTCTCCAAGCGTTCCCTCTCAGCCTCTGCTTCCTGCTGGGCGCGTTCCTCGTCTCGCTGAGTGCGGAGTGCTCTTTCTGCTTCTTCTGCAGCGAGGGCATCTGCTTCCTGTCGCTGGTTCCAGTCCCGGACACGTTCTTCGTGGTCAGTGTCCCAGGTTTCGGCCAAACGATCTATGACTTCTTGCTCTGTGCTTCCTGTGGCCGCCATGAGGTCGTTCCTTATTCCGGCATAGAGGCCGCCGGCGAAGTCTGGGCGGACTTCAGTAGATGGATCGGCCATTTTCGCGAGTGAGAGAGGAAATTGGGTAGTTCTAGTAGGTTAAGCTAGTGTATTGACTATGTTGTTTTGAAAGAAAAGAAGAGCAAGCAGAACGAGCTACGGAGTGACGAACGATGGACGTGGCGCGGAAGCAAGACGTGCGTTCCCGCGCCTCTCGTTCGCTCGAAGACCTTACTCTATTCCTTCGCTCGTACCTCGTTACATAATAGAGTCTCCACAAATATAAAGAACGGTCATGAAGGACCAATGTTTCCTCTGCCCGAGTCAACTGCACCATCCTGCATGGATATAGGACTTTGCTCACCAAGATCAGTTCGAACTGTTAAAGCGTTCCTAGTGAGATGTGGAGGTCATGACATCAACTTACCTCTTGTCCGAATGTCAATGCTTAAATATTGTATACATGTCAATGGTCCCTCGGAACGTATTATGCCGCTCACCCCAGTCGTATACCACCACAGTATAGCTTGCAGCTGCGAAGCGACAGTCAAATATATTGAGACGTCACCATTGGCATCTCAATTGCTCTATACGAACCTGCAACATAGCTGGAAAAACGAGCAGAACTGATGAGCGGCCACCAAGCGGGATCATCTGAGACTATGGTCATATCGTGTATTTGAGACTTTGAGTGCGTGCAGATATACCGCCGTCCATCGCTTTTATAGTGATTGGTTCGGTTTGTCCGTTTCTCGAATCAGGATATTGATTGATCGCAGTAAAATCACGTACTAGCACGGGAATAGTAGTGTGAGAAGGGCGCCCTCGATGGGAGGAAAGTACATTTTTAGATCCGCCAAATATTTGGACACCGATAAGCATGTGTTCGTGATGGAACGAGGGATTCTGCATCGGTTCCTTCAGTGACCATGTGGTTATCAATCTAACGCAGACCAACCGCAGCACTTCATCAAATCAATGCTGTGTATTAACAATGAACGGGCGATCATGCAATGATGGGGATGTGCACGGGTAAGAGCGACATTTCCAACATCACACGATCAAGCGACAGATTGGTAGGCATGCCTGAGTCAATGTCGACTTCGGCCTGACTATCTAGATTCGAAACCAGTCTGGACTATGTCTTTGAGAGGGTGACGCATCATCGACTTTAGTATATGGCAGTGCTGGCTACGAGCCTAGTGACTGTCGGGAATTATTTTCGCTCATTCCTTGCACGGCTGCTTGTGAGGCTCGTTAAGGAAGCACCAATCGCGTTCACATGTAGGTAGGTGCATCTCAGTCGAATCGGGGTGACCGCCGCTCTTCATCGTCTTGATGTCGGATAGCAGCCACACCTACACCAATTACTTCAATTTGCCGGAAACTAGATTGATCAATGATGTCCCAACAACAATAATTTTGTTATGTGACAGCCTGACATGACGATCTATCTTACCAACGAAGGTCACAGCCAAATCGTGATCTATCACTGCCATGGAGAAGCTACTATTGCAACGGGTCCCTGATACCAAAACAGAGCACCTGCTTACTTGAATAATACTCCAGTGTCCAATTTGCTGGAGGTTCAGCGAGGCACGAGGGGCTGAATGAACATTTGAATTTTTGACGGAAACTCTTCCGCTACTAGGTGGGAGTCGATTTAGGTTGAGAGATTCGTTCTGTGAGGTGGGACAGACTTAGCAGCAGCAACTAGCCGACTGGCATTATGTGGACTGTATGTGGAGAGACTTTAAATCTGAGAGCTGCCCCAGTGCGCATATGTCAATTACTTACGTTTTTCCCGTCAATAACGGATCGAGCTACATGACCCCAACACTGAGTACTGAGTACTCACTTGCTTTATAACGATTTTCACGATCGATAGACGAAGGAAAGTTGCGTTTCGTACGAGGAAATTCACGGTCACAGCATTAGTGTCACACCATCACAGCAAGTCACATGTTAACTTGGGCACTCTCTGGTTCGGTTGACCTTCACTTCGACATTGACAGGAATATTCGGTCCATTCCTTAAAGCTTTCGCGATTTAAGTGGGGCGCATGTACACTTACTCATTCAGTCCCCTCCAAGAAATGACAACCTCGATTCAACTCCCATCAGATGTAGTCCCCTTCAACATCTCGCCCTATCATAATACTTCCAAACGATAAATACCGTGTCTAGAGGTGTGTATCATAAGATTAATTAATATCCTGTGAACTAAGTCGACGCATCATCGTTCAATAGGACCCGCAACTTCCTCTTGCATTCTGTTTACCCTCCACCGAATCCGTATCTCGTCAGCACATGATCGTGACTTCTCCCAATTCCGTAAGTGCGTTTCTTCCGTTCGTGCCAATGTCTAACTTTCCTGTTCAGCGTCCTAAACTGTGATATTCGTCCAATTGGGTACATGGACGTTGTTGCTCTGAGACAAAAGTGGGAAGCAGGCACTGCATCACCAGTACGCATCGTTATCAGATCGATGCCTTCTTATATGTTTAATCCGACGCTCAGAACGACTCCATCAGTAAATACATGACTAAGTTCAATCATAGCGCGTCTCAGCATTACATCCTCATAACTCCCTTGATGCCCCTTGCGCAACTGGCAGAGTTTTTCCGGCCCCCGAAGCGTTCCTACCCAATACTCACTTCACCTTCCTCGCAGTGCCCGAGGATAGCCGTCGCCTGTCTAGACGGTGGCATAGTGAGGGACATGGTCAGTGCAGATGGCAAGGAGTTCTTGACCGGCCTCGCTCTATGGTTCGCGCTCGCTATTCCAAGCATACACGTACACAAATTCCATGGTACGTATCTTCCCTGACTTTCTTTCATCCCCATTTATACTATTTTCAGTCCCCCACCTTTAATCTACACTATCCCTCAGGTTCAGGACCCGCCTGCATTCCCTAGCATGATTTGACTACCCGTGTATTATTCCATCCGAGCCATTTGTGTCGTTATAATTTCTCTTGCTCCGTCCTCCCAGTCCTCCCATGTCATAGCCATGATTGCAGTACCTCTCCCAGGTCCTGCTAGCAAATCGGTTTTCCTGGGTGTCTTCCCACATTCCTTCCCGACAGGCAACACCCATGTCCATCTCAAAGTCCCTTCGCGTTCGAGCCCCATGCGAGCAGCAAGTCTCAGGGATGGCTCATTACCCGGATGTGGATGCCAACATACTCTCCTCAACCCCAAACCCGATTCAGACTGGGATGCATAAGGCATGGTAAAACAGTACTTGAGGAGTGCTCCTACTGCATGCGTTGCGACATGTGTACGCTGAAATGTGGGGAGGATACACAAGACCCCAATCTCCACTGATAGGTTCGTCGGTGAATAATTGAGGAGTCCAATTGTCCCTGCGAGCTTCCCTCCCCACTCCGGATAGTCCGGGTCTGGGGTTGTCCTGTCGATGATTGCGAAGAGGACATTGTACGGGTTCTGGCGCACGAAGGCGTCCAGGGACAGTAAATACGACTCTGGATCTTCTATGCCGGGAAAAGAATAATAACGGTAGAAGTGTACAGGGTCCGAGATTGCTGCATGATATTTTTCAGCGTGAATGGATGGGATGAACGGCGTTAGCTTCAGACGCGGGGTCTCCAGCTGAGTAAAGTCGAGCGGAAAGGCGACGTTGATGTCATAGGGGACGGGACCATGAAGTCCGTAAGCAGGTTTCGCGGGAGGAGGGGGTCGATAGGCATTGACATACGCCATGTGAAGATGATTGGGCAAGCACAGCTGAGGCCAAGTCATATACATCCAACATTCTTATACTAAGTCGGCTCGCTGAGTGACTGAGTGGTCTGGTGACTCATACTGTTCGGCCCGAATCAAGGATCCAATCCTGAGCGGTTTGTTTGCCATCTATATCATGTTTACATAGTATAGTCGTACCATCTTGTCATCCGAGCAACTCAACTGACTTTCAGACGAGTCCTTGGCTTCACAAGTGACCACGAACTTTTTAATAATATCCATATGACGCTTGTTCACGAGCATTGGTTAGAACTTTTCTCCTTAAACGTATGTCGATCTAATGTAGCACAGTTAATGCCGCAGCCCACTTCGAAGAGGTCGCTAACTCCGGTGCGAACAGCGGCTCCCTTCGCTCCACACGACGCCGATGGTCGCATCGCAGCAAAGTTATATAGAGAACCTAGTGCAGAAGACTCGGAATTTGGAACACACCATCAAGAAGCTGAACGATGAACTCAGTCTTGAACAGACTCGCGCCAAGGACACTGTCAATATCATGAAACAACAATGGCGAACAGAGCAAAAGGAGTGGCACGTTGGTTGCGATGCTTTACAGGCGTGCCATGGGATTGCCCATCTCAGGACAGCATGCGCTTTGGACGACGAACGAATCGCATTGCTCAAGGAGCGCGAAATTGCACGGCGCGAGAGGCTTGCGCGTATACAGAGGGATTACAAGATCACCATGTTCCAGGCTAGGGAGGCAAGCCGACTTTCACCTTCCATGCACGACTCATTACTGCTTCCCTGCTGATGGATAATATGGGGTGGGCACACGTCTGGCACGTTTTGCTCTTATCTACGACCCTTAGTCATTCAGCAGAAAGGGATCGAGCTACTGGCTACAACGACGTGTATTTGGCCTCAGGTATGAATATACCTCGATGGCTCAAGATAGAAATGAAACCGAACCGAAAGCAAAAGCAAAAGCAAAAGAAACCGAATCAAACAACGCGGGACGTGCCAGTTGCGTGATTTTGTATGTCCCTGTTCAATTGAGTGGGCTTCAAAGCTTACAACACCTTGGTGCGCGAAATACCCTTGAATGACAACGACGCTCTGCCTGGACAGTCTGCGATTTTGAAGGCGAGAGTCCGACTATGCTGCGGAACCCTTGGGCTATCTATACCAGCTGTCTGAACTCAGACGCGCTACTTCTACCTTCCAGCCCCCTCGCTTTCCATTCGTTCGGTCCAGATGGTGAATATATCGATCGGTATTTTAATCTGACGGTCTTGCTTAACAGGATGGGCTCTAACAGATCATCGTAAGGACGCAAACCCAACACACAATTTGAGAAAATCGTGTTCGATGTCATTAATGGTTAGCTCCAATCCTCTAATCCTCTACTCTCCGTTCTGCACACCTCATCTCTTTGCCACGCTCATTTGCGATATAGGCATATAGGCGAACCACGAGTACGCGCGATTCATTCCTATACCTTTACCGTGGCCCAGTTGGACAAATGCGCCTCTGAGCACCAATGACTTACAGTCATCCAGGGTTCATCCTTCACGGTCACTTTTTCATCATCTGTGTGCTCAGACAGCGTAACTCCGCAATCAATCGTCTTATCATCAAGGACTGGGTTGGTTGCTAGACGTTGCACATAATTTCAGCTTGCCACTTGGTAAAAGTGTGGACGGGCGGTTCACTGACTTCTAGGAGTGACACAACAAGAAACGGGTTTGTCTACATAAGCCTCGTCTTAAATATACTTTGAAACATCATAACTAAAATAAATACTACGACGGATCCTCGACCAAATATCTCATCCATGCAGAACGCTCGGCAAACATTTCCCTACACAGTACTACTAGTTGATACATGTACACGCTTTTGGAAGACAATCGAAATCATGCTAGTTTCTGTGTCAGAGTTGGCCACGAGCTTAGCGTGATAATCTCTAACACTAAGGATGAGGCGTGGTCCCAGCACGAACATCTGCACAGCCAATAAAATGTCAAAAGCACCACCGAGTATCTGAACACCCGTAGAATCTGAATTCTACAGAAATGATGAGCAGTTGTTACAAGCAGATGTCAGTGACAGTTCAATTCACATTGAGCTCTGGAGAGAGAGAAACAAGCTGGAGGCAAGAAACACAAACAAAGCTAACATGCACGGAACTTGAGCGGGAAAAGGTAAGCACATTCACATTACAAGCTCACCTTGCGAAATAAAGCACGTGTGATTTTATCAGCACTCTGAAACAGTCCCTTATTGTCGATCCTGTCGATGGGCCGAGTCGTCGCAGGTCACGGAAATGTTTCATAGCAATCCAGGCTGAAAGACAGTGTAAGGATCTCCCAAACAGTGTTGAGCGTCCAAACCATTGATATCAGCCTGAGAAGCTGGACATCCCCCTCATATTCGAAGTAGCACATATACGTTCCAGAGAGTATCCCCTCCTCTGGTGGTTGTCCAATGAGCGGTGTTTTTCAAGTCAATACAATGTCCTTGAATCCTATTGCCGCGAGCACTCCGCAGGCGATGTTAACAGCCAGGAAGATAATACCAAGGAAGATCAGCATCATTCTAGATCGCTGATACATGGCATGCAAGCGAGCAATCATGATGACTTGCATCGTGTTTCAGTCGAGTCAATATCACTGAGGTATTGCCGCTCACCACCCAGCATGGCAGTTAAGACCACATTTGTCCCATTTATTGTGTGGTACATAATATCACCTGAAACACGCAGTCAGTGACCACCTCGTACTAGTATACTTGCCTCTTGATCTTAGTATTCAACCCACTCCTCCTGTGACATAACGAAAGATTTCACGCCATAGATACAATCACTCCCCGTTCCACGTTAGCTATAACAGGTACCCGGTCGGTATATCAAAGTCACGATGCCACTCATCCAAATTAGGCTAATAATCCTCTTTTACACCGACTCGGCCTGCATCGGATTCAAATCCACATGCAAGTATCCCGCATATACAGCCAGCATGCTGACATAGCTCACAACTCAATTTCCGATCTGATAGTGATCTGTGCCTTCTATTAAGAACCTCTTTTGCAACGTCAACAGCAACGCCGCCCGATCTCCTGAATATTAACTCACTACCGTCGCCATCGGACTCGGACCCACTCTCTTCAATTTTGCACACAATTACTCCCTTCTCAAAACGAGCTTACTTGGGACGATGTGTCGTCTTCACTGCTACACTTTTCATCCATCGTTCACAACTGCCTTTTCTTGTAGCGACAGTGTCTAGGCTTTACCTGATTAGCACAAGGTAAATATCTTCTATGAACGTTCCTCTCGGATATGTTCTGACTCCCCGCGAACCAGCGCTTCACACTCCATTCATACCGACAGCCAAGGTGGTTATCACCAGGAAGCAGACTCGTTGCCTTTCAGCCATCTCGCCTTCCACTCACTGGCGTCACAAATTATAGCCATCAATCCAATGCTATTCCTCTCTACTAGTTCCTCGTACCTCATCCGTTATTCCCTCCCACTTCATTCGTTTTCACAAACATAATTTCCTCATTGCCCGAGTCAAGTCTGGATGGCAGGTGTCACGGTAGTTGTGTCCTGCGAACCAGAGCCGCTGTGTTATCAGAAATCTGGGATTTTACTCATTACCGTTACTTCCGCTCCTTCCTTCGTTATCCTCATATAGATGACAGATCTCGAATGATTTTGATGGTTGTGAAATCCTTGGGGCTATCAGCCGCCTTAGCTCAGACACTGGTTTTACTTTCCTGGTTCACCGAACTTTCGCATCGTGTTCCACATGTCTGGACATCCCTGTTTTGTGCTCAGACAACTGGTCCATTGATCATATTTTGTCAGGCACGCTTTACTCCTCGCTCAGCACCTCACATCTCCTTACCATCTGTGACAGAGGTAAATACTCGAGCCGTAAGTTTTTTTGAATCCATCATACTCCATATCGTTGAATCATGCTTGAATACCGAGACGATTGACTGCACGACTATCTGGCAGTAGTCAGTGATCGGTTGGTTCAATCATATGATTGACGCCCAATCAGTAGACTAGTGGTCTCGAGGACATCGACATCCTGCTTCTACCTTCACACACGAATTGACACTCCATCTCCGCAGCCCAGATGGATGATGAAGGTGGCCAGGTGTTCTCGCTAATTTGATGTATTATCAGCCATCAGAATCTCTCTCTCGCTTGTTCTTTTGATTTGCTCAGACACATGATAGAGCTAGTGCAATCTCATCAAAGTACGTATTTCAGAATATCGTAGTTGACGCCTTACTGATACTTTTGCAGGTGCGTTTGATGCCTTCCAACTTGTTGCATCGTGCTTGAACAGACGCCAATCAGCGATGTCGCGCCAGTAGCACCCGCAACGAGAATGGACCTCGATAGCCAATGACCTGATGTGATGCCCAGTTACAATAATCCATACCAATAGTTGCGGAGGACGACAACAACCGACTCTCACCCTTCAAGCACAACTCAGTACTACTTTCTTACTGCTCAGATGGATGATATGGGAGTAGGCATGCGTCTGGCCCGTTCTCGTTCAGTGCTTTACTCTGACGGTCGTGCTTGGCAGGATGGGCTCCACCAGATCTTGCAAGGACGCAAACCCGACACATAATTTGCAATCGTCGTATGCGCAACGCTATGATGGCACGACTCCGATAATGTAGGTATGAATCAAATTTCAGAATATCGTGGTTGATGCCTCATTGATAGTTTGTCAGGTGTACAGCTTGAGGCCTTCTGAATTGAAGCTCCCATTCTCTAATTCTCTACTTCCCATCTCTTTACGGTGCGTCTCTGCGTGTTTCTTTTGGGTCGATGCTGATGATGCTGACGCACGCAGACTGTCTCTGACAAAGTAACACGCATATATTGACTCTTACGGGTGATGGAACGGGGAGTTGGACGTTTACCCGGATTGTTACGTCTTGGGCTCTGGAGGATGGCACGGAGGGGTGTGGTGAGAGCGGACTGGCGACACCACCTAACGAAAGTGAACCGACTGTGGGGAATGGTGAAAGCGAACTGCGCACAGGAGCCGAACACCTCGCGCATGCTCTCGAAAGGATACGTGTGCTAGAAGCACGGAATATTGAGGAGTCGTGTGGGTGGGAGAAGAGGGTGAGGTAGCTTGGGGAGGAGTTGAAGACAAAGTAATATGGGTTGGTGCGCTGGTTCTTTCTTGAGTTGGGGATTTTTGTGAGGGGGACGCGAGATATCGTATATGAGCTTATACGTGGACTGGGTGTAGACAGGAGGATCGTGGTGATCTGGTAGCAAGGCGTGGCACCGCTTAGCTTGTCCTTGTCGTATGTAGTGCAAGCTAGCAGTTGTTATAAGGCAGAAATATCATCAACCTAGAAAGACAGCTGTTTCATACTGCAACGCCATATAATATTGTATATTCTCGGTATACTGAGAACTTAGAAGTCTCCGAGGACTCAAAATAGCAGATTTGAAAAGCTGGACTCGTAGAGCTCTAAGCATCGATTGGTCGCTCCGTATCTAGAGAGGAGTCCGTGTCTCAGGTAGCATAAAGTAAGTACAAGAAGTTCCATTGTCCAAATTACTTCGGAACACCAAATACACAGCGTGACGAGGCTAAATATCACAATGAAACAAATCAATAGGCATGCTCGCCGTACACCGCAGTACCCACGTCGTTGATCATTTGGATCGTTTTATGTGCTATACATCTCTGCCAGTCGACACATCTCCGCCGGTCAACGCGTCTCCACCAGCCCGGAAAGCAATGGACGTCATGCCTGTTCCCCCGTCGGCCCTGGCCACGACCTTAGCGTGATGTTCTCGAATGCTGAGGATCAGACGCGGTCCAAGCACGAACATCTGCAACATCTGGGCAATTGAATAAACGCCAGAGCAAATAGCATTTCCCGTGGACGATAAGTTCTGCAGAAAAATGATGAGAATGGTCAGCTGCATATACAAGTCATAGGCCGGCGTACCATGATATTTAGAGACGGCGAGCGAAGTCTGAAGCAAGCCATAATAGCAAAGCTAGCACATGTGGAACTTCAGTGAAAACAAGATTATAACATTCAGATCACCGAACTCACGCTAGAAAGTAAAACGCGTGACTTTGTATTAATATCGTGAGATAGTCCCCAATGGTCGTTCCTGCCGGCGATTGTCGCAGTTCACGGAAGTGCTTTATAACAATCCAGACTGTAAGAAACAAGGCAAGGATCTCCCATGCAGCGATGCATATCGCACTCTGGTAAGTCAGATTTGTCATGGACATGTACCTGCTGTCAATGCAGAAATAGTAGTAGCCGAAAAGCTCATTTTGCTCTGGTGAATGCTCATGAATATCTTGTGCCACAGGCATTCATCGATAATTAAAACTTACGCGCTGAAAAACCCAGGTTTTCAATGATCATCATAACTCCAGAGGTGATCGTGCAAGCCAGTAAGGCTACCACAAGAAAGATGAGCAACTTTTTCGATCCCTGATACATGGCATAGATCCGAGCAATCATGACGACTTGAATGATATTTCGGTCAAGTCGATATCAGTAAAGCACAGCGGGTGAGCTCACCGCCCAGCATGGCATTGACAATGACAGGGGACCATATCTGTATGTACCCAGCGATAGTACCTGAAACCCCAGTTAATTGGTGGTGGAATAAATCCTTCAAATGAACTCACAGCTGTTGAAGTCATTTTCTTGAGGACACAAGCCAACAGAGAATAACACTCACTCCTATATAAGAGCCAAGTTAGTAGTTGAATAGGAATGGCAGCATCGGTGCTGAATACGCACTGCATTGGTAATAGAGAAAGGGAGAATCGCTGCATGCCACAAGTCAGAAGGAGCGAACACATCTGAGGACACATACACAGGATGTTGATGCTGGTTGCGAGATATGACTTATTAGCACATTGCAGTGTTATGTAGATAGCCTTGCAAACGTACGCAGAAAATAGTATTCCGATGTAGCGCACCTAGCATATGTTGAAGTCAGCACAACATGCCAACTGTGCTCGTAGCAATAACGTACACAAATATAAAGAACACTCATGAAGGACCAACGTTTCCTCTGCCCCGAGTCAACTGTGTCGTCCTATTTGGTTCTGATATAGGACTTTGCTCACTAAGATGAGTTCGAACTGTAAAGGCATTCTTAGTGAGATGCGCAGGTCATGACATCAACTTACCTCTTGTCCGAATGTCAATGCTTGAATGCTGTATACATATCAATGATCCCTCGGAACGTATTATCTCACTCACCCCAATCGTATACCAGCATAGTAGAGCTTGCAGCTGCGAAGCGACAGTGAAAGATATTGAGATGTCACCATTGGCATCCCAAGTGCTCTACGAACCTACAACATAGCAGAAAAGAAGAAATGGTTTTATGAACAGCCACCATGACAACGCAGGATCCTCTGAGAGTATAATCATATCGGGATGGGGCTTATGGTCCATGGAGTGCATGCAGAATCTGCAGATATACTGCTGCCCATCGCTTTTATAGTGACTTGTTTGGGTATTTGTTTCTCGAACCAGAATCTTGATTGATCACAGCAAAAGTTGCAGAATGAAATCACGTAGAAAGGGGATAGCAGTGCGAGAAGCCCTTGTTTGAAACAAAGTAAATTTTGGATCCGCCGAATTTTTGAATACTGATAAGATCTGTGCATGATGAAACTTGTTTTCGAGGGGTTCTGCATCAAAGTTCTATCAGTGAGACTGGTGGCGCGTGATGATCAGTATACTTAGATATTATGTAACCGTTGACGGTCACGCTAAGTCACATGTTAACCAAATATATCAATTTACATAACTCGGGCACTCTCCGGCTCGGTTGACCTTCGCTTCGAAATTGACAGGAATCGGTCCACTCCTCAAAGCTTGGACGATTTAAGTGGTGCGTGTGTACACTCACTCATCCAGTCCCCTCCAAGAAATGGCAACCTCAATTCAACTCCCATCAGACGTAGTCCCCTTCAACATCTTCGCCCTAACATCAATGCCTACAAACGATAAATACCGTGGTGCTGTTGTCGAGGTGTGTATCATAAGATTAATTAATACCCTACGAAACTAAGATAATTCGACGCATCAGGACCTGCAACTCCCCCCTGCATTCTGTTTACCCTCCACCGAAACTGTATCTCGTGCAATGGAGTCAGCATATGATCGTGACTTCTCCCATATTCCGTAAATGCATTTCTTCCGTGCGCGCCAATATCTAACTTTCCCGTTCAGCGTCCTAACCCGCGATCGTCGTCCTCTCGGGTACGTAGATGTCGCTTCTCTGAAAGAAAAGTGGGAAGCAGGCACTGCATCACCAGTTCGTATCTCTATCAGGTCGATGCCCCTTATATGCTTAATCCGACGCTCAGAACGATTCCATCAGTAAATACATGACCAAGTTCAATCGTAGCGCGTCTCAGCATTACACCCTCATAAATCCCTTGACGCCCCTTGCGGAACTGGCAGAGTTTTTGCAGGACAATATCTTCGCCCTAGGTGCGTCTTGAGTTGAATGTTTTGCTTTTGCGGATCTGGCCCCTGACAGCTCTGATCATTGTAGTTACGGACCAAGGAAGGAATTTTGTGCTTGCTGTGGCGACATCGCAGGATCTGGACGTAAGCCTGCATTTTTTTTCGTGCGTAGGATTATGAACTCATTTGTATCTCTAGAATTTTGTGACGCGTAGGGGCCGTTGATCTCATGACTGATAGATCATTTATCTCCTTGAGCACTTATTCTCAGCCATGTGGTTTTATATCTATATCAAGTAGAATATGTTTCAATATCATGCGGTGGGCGCCTGATCGTTCATCGGCGTACTGTATATCGGTTGCAAAGTTGAGAGGGGTTTTTGTTTCGTCACAGGAACGACATGAATCCTGCGAAGGCTTACGGTGCGATATTATCTCTTAGCTTGCTATGTATCAGCGCTTCAGCTTCCAAGCACTCATCATTGACATGAATGCGACAGCAGATGGCATGATCCTGATCCTGATGGCCTTCGATGACACTATTTATATATCGGATATGGTGTAATGGTTAACATTACCGCCTCTCATAAAGATACACCAACGCGGTAGCTCGGGGTTCGATTCCCCGTATCCGAATTTACTTTTATCATTTTGCTCCATGCTCTCTTTCCGAGTTTTAGTTCGAAACACTTATTAATTACTCTTGATCAAGTAACCTGGCTACACCCGGTTACGTTCCGTTGTCCCAAATCCTACATAATGTTTGTATTTTATGCTTGTTTGCAAGAACAACGCGCATCGCACGACGCACGACAAGGTATCATTTGGGTGAGTAACCCTTCGTTTATCGAAGCCAGGTGATCTGACTGCGCCTACAGGAAGATCATTGTACCCTGTTGGGACAGCGGTAGTCACTTTGTTAGCGAGTGCCCTCCTTGGGAGTACGATTGATTCGATTTTTGATAGTCGTTTCAGATCCAGACGTTTCCCAGACCCTGAGACGTTTAAGCTTAATCATAATCATTAGCTCGATGTTGAAGGACACATGTGAGATAATTCCAAGTTCAGGTTTAGTCGCCGTCCGACACTTTCAAAGTTAAGCCTTCTGGCTCGCCATAAAGCCGTTGCATGCATGGTGTTTTGCGAACAAGCAGCTTAGCACGATGGTTTCAAGGCCAGAAGTTCAGATTCCAGAAGACGAGCTCATGCGTATCGTGGAAGGGTGTCACTGAGCAAATTTGAGAGTTACATTAAGCTCTTTGTTTATACACTGAAGTTATGAACCTCGTGATGATGACCCAGGCGGAAGTTTCACTATATCGGATACTGGTGTAATGGTTAACATTACCGCCTCTCATACTTAGGTTCGCGGTAGCTCGGGGTTCGATTCCCCGTATCCGAAATTAAAGACGATTGTTTTTTTATCAGAAAATTGGTTGTTGCAGCTTCGTCAATGGTGGCAAGGGCGGTCGACCCCTGCCGCTACTATTAGGAAGCGACGTAATGATGACGTGATGGGACGCGACGAGTTTGAAGTTTATACGCGTGAACGCGCGCTGCCTGGCTAATCACTACTGTCAACTCTGAGCATGTCAAGCGGTCGTCGCTCTCCTTCTCCGGAACCGCCTGGCCCTCAGCCAATAAGGAGACTTCATGAGTCCCTTATTAACCGAATTGCAGCAGGCGAAGTACGCACTGGGTTAACTACGGTACAGACGCGAATGAGTACTGATGAAATTCACCTCTAGATCATACACAGACCCGCTTCTGCGCTAAAAGAGCTGCTGGAAAACAGCCTCGACGCCGGGTCTACTTCAATTCATGTCATCGTCAAGGATGGTGGTATGAAGCTGCTTCAGATTCAGGACAACGGTTGTGGCATTCGTGTATGTCTTCCTCGCATTCACATCAAAGCATTCCATTGAGCTTATTTGAAGAAAGAAGACCTACCCTTGCTCGCTGAACGTTTCACTACTTCCAAATTGACTACTTTTTCCGACCTCTCCAAGCTAACCACTTATGGGTTCCGAGGGGAGGCTCTGGCATCTATATCCCATGTCGCGCACCTGACAGTGATCACAAAGACCAAGTCAAACAATTGTGCTTGGAAGTATGCATATAATACATTGCGCACGGAACGAAAACTCCTGACGAAAATCCCACAGGGCTGCTTACCTTGATGGTGGCCTCGTCCCGTCGAAAGCGGGATACACACCAGACCCGAAACCTTGTGCTGGAAACAACGGAACCACCATCATAGTAAGTCCCTAAGAAGTCAAACAGCTCTCTCTCATCACTCGATTCACCACAGATTGAAGACATGTTTTATAATACACCTACTCGAATGTCTGCTCTCCGAAGCTCCTCTGAAGAATACGCGCGAATACTTGATGTAATGACGAAGTATGCTGTGCACAATTCCAAAGTATCATTCGTGTGTAAAAAGGTGTGTTGCTTCGAATATCGTCAATGATGCGCTATAATGCATCGTGTAGGCTGGTTCCCTGAGTCCTGAACTCTCCACCCCATCCTGTTCAGATACATCTCAGGCTATCCGCCAGCTATACGGTCATTCCATAGCCAAAGAGCTTTTGCATGTCACAGCGTCTTCTGTTTCAGATGATAGCACGGACGTGGATGATTCGGAAGATCCGGAAGCATGGTCGGCAGAAGCATATTGCACTAACGCAAACTACCAAGGCAAGAAGACTGCGCTCTTGTTATTCATAAATCGTCTGTTTCTGTTTTTTCCCATATTGCTATCTTGCAAAATCTAACGCGTATTTTATGCAGACCGTCTAGTGGAATCACTTCGTATAAAACGGTCAATTGAGAGCATATACAGCGGTATACTGCCAAAAGGTTCTTCTCCTTTCGTGTATTTGAGGTGAGACCGAATCCTACCAGTGGGACGTGAAAATAATAATTCGCGCAGCATCAACCTCGACCCGAGGTCTGTAGATGTCAACGTCCATCCGACCAAGCGCGAAGTCCACTTTTTGAATGAAGAAACCATCATCGAGCGAATATCGGATGCCATTCAGCAGAAACTCGCAGGTCAAAGTCAGTCGCGGGTATTCGAGTATCAGGTACATCGAAAGATATGTGCTACGCCCGCACTTTAAACATCTTCATTGACAGACACTGCTCACTGGGGGCATCGCACAATCAGGATCACGGAAAGGCAAGGAAAAAGCAAGTAATGTCGATGAAGTGGAAGAAGATGGCGAGGAACCAGAGGATGATCGCCGGGCATCAGGAAGTCAAGGTAAGCGTTGGCGCCAATCTCAGGCAAATATCATTTGAATCTTGTTCAGTAGCGAAGAAGGTGCTTTCTCAGCACAAAGTCCGGACCTCCCTACAGGATCGCACACTAGATTCGATGATTCCGGTCACTGACCCGTTGAGAACCGACTCCGACGAGCCCGTAACAGCTATCCGGTTACGGGACATCAAAGAATCGACGTGCCATTTTGCATCTATAACAGAACTCAGGCGTCTTGCTACCAAGCGCATACACCATGGTGAGCTATACATATTTTTTTTCGCAACAATAACGTTCTTACATACATAAAACGTAGACCTGTCTGAAATCATCAAGAAACATACCTTTGTCGGCGTGATTGACATGTCCAGGTGTCTTACGTTGATTCAACATAACAAGAACCTTTACATGGTCAATCATGCTGCACTAGCGTGCGTTACTAAACTTCTTCGGAGGCTTGTGTTGATGTTATCGCAGGGAGGAAATGTTCTATCAGCTTGCGTTGTTACAATTTGGAGACTATAGCCGACTCAAACTTGATCCCCCGCCATCTCTTCGAATGCTCATCAAGTTTGCGGTCGACGTAGAAGAAGATACAGCACGCAGTGGCATGAGCCAGGACGAGATTGTCGATGTATGATCAAATTTCAGTACTTTAGCAGATCCACTCAACGTCCTTTTACAGCGAATAGTCAAGACCTTGATGGATCGCCGAGAGATGTTGCGCGAGTATTTCTCCTTGGACATTTCAGACACTGGCGATGTTAAGACACTTCCACACCTCCTTCGCGAGTACACCCCTAATCTCGACAAGCTACCCATGTTTCTCATGCGTCTCGGGCCTCAGGTACGTTCCGACACCATATTGTCATTCCACGGATACCAAGTTCTCTTAGGTCATCTGGGAGTCCGAGCAAGAGTGCTTTGGTTCTTTCATGCGCGAGCTAGCGTACTTTTACTCCCCAGCTCCGCTGGCCGTTGTCTCAGCGCCAGCCTCTGACGAAGATAAACAAGAAAAGCAGAAATCTGAAGCATGGCGCATACAAAATATCCTATTTCATGCGATGCGCAAGTACCTGGCAGCTCCCAAGTCTCTGTTGGACAATGACGTCGTGCAGGTGGCGAGCTTACCAGATCTTTACCGGGTCTTCGAACGCTGTTAGACTTCATATCATGTTGCAATTTCTATTCGTGAATGCTGGTACATAACTCCAGAGTTGCCATATTAATATGTACGTAGACTACAATGATTCTATAATGCATCAAGAACAACGAAAGCGTGGTGAAAATATATTAATACAAGCTCTTGCCATTGGGAGCGGTACGGTAAAAGGCTGGAGAGTCATACATGAATGCGTCACCCTCAGACTCAGGATCAGACTCATCACTGGAGTCGTCCGAAAGGTCGTGTGATCCACCGACCTGGAATACATCTCCGAATGGAGTCTGAGGCATGTCGTTGGAGTGGTCTGTAGATCTAGCTAGAATGGATGCGACTCTATCTTCCAGCTGCTGACTCGGTAGGAGCTGCGTCTGAGGCTTCGTCTTCTGGAAGAACTCGCTTAGCTCGTGCAGGTCCTGAACTAGGACTCCCAAGTCTTCATCAAGCTCATCCGCGAACAGGGGCTCTTGGACCTCTGGCTGGAAGTGCACCGTAGATATCCGTGATGACGTCGTGAACATAAGTGCAACTGCAAGGACGTTGGCGCGACATTGGGTTTGTCGATGTGATATACGTGCGATGCACCAGCCAGAGTCTTCTGGAACACCAAAGATCTCTGTCTCACCCTCACTTGCACCTGCACCGGTAAGTGTTGAGACGTGCATGCTCATGCGAAGGACCTGTTTGGCTGTGAGTCCTCCGGTGATCTTCGTTGGCTCCTCTAATACATCAAGAGCTTGCGTCGCCAACTCTCCTTCCACCAACCGCAATAAGGGCATAAGATGCTCTGTGCCCAACGACTGCAAAGCACGTTGCTGGAATAGGACTTTAAGGACGTGCATTGAGTACACTTGGAGCCATCTCTCCTTGTTGAGCACCAAACTCAACAACAGAGTTGCGATATCGGTCCAGTCATCGGGAGGATAGTGGTCACGTAGACTGCTAATGGACTGACGAAGAAAATCATCTTTGGTCCTGAACCGACGCTTGACAAAGGAAACCATGATCCGATTGATACTCTCCAGACCATCTTCATCAGCTAAGTCCGCAATTGAAGAACAGAAATCGTTTAGAGCCTCATCATGCTGGTCAGTGCACATGGCGTGCATGCACCATGGTAGGGACAGAGTAAAGAGGTCTCGAAGCCAGTTTTGGGAAGAGTCGAACAATTTGGCGCACTTCAGCTTGGCCAATCTCCCAAGGACTGCGAACGTGTCATCTAGAGTCGTGGCAGAACGAAGCCCGCTCCAAAGGGCTTGTTGCAATCCGATGGACCCGTTCCAATCTTTAGGGCGCTGGGCAACGACGAGGTCTGCGATATGGGGATCATCTAAGTCAATCCGATCGAGGAATGCAGACAACAGTTTGATGGCTTGCATGTATTCGGTTTCTGCACTAGTTGACATCACTGCATGCGTCGTCCAAAAAAGACGAGGAAGCAGCGTATCATCGAGTTCGTCCAGTGTAACCATATGGGTGATGGTGCGGATAACTTCCGCCGAAAAGGCCTGTCTTTCTGGATCCACATCCGCTATGGAAACAGATAACCGACTCAGCAACTGATCCAGCGCGGCATGACTCAAAGGCAGTTTCAACACACGGAGCACTTGTAAAGAACGAAACGCGAGGCTCCGCATGTTACAAAGCTCCACGTAGGCTAGTGCCAGTTTGCCTACAGTCTGTTCCAAGGCTGGAACAAGAGGCTGGAGCATAGGAAGCACCTGAGAGAAGAGCGCACTCATTCGAGTTTCCACGATATCGCTGTCATCATCATCCTTCCAAAATATAGAATCTCCTTGATCCTCCAAGGCGCTTATCTGCGCCACTAATACAGAGCAATTGGACTGTGCGAGACCTGGAACACAAACACGCAAGAGCTGGAAGAGCATCCCACGCGCCCTGATCCTCATAAGAGAGACGCGGTGGTCAAGATTGGGAAAGATTGCCTGCAGAATGACCGGTATGGAAGTGACATGCGTCCACTGTCCTTCCACTGCAGCAGACCCCAGTAAGATCAATGCATACTGCGCCGGTCCCAGTAGTATCTTTGGCTGCTCTTCCGCAAACTGAGCATTCAAATCAGACCACAGTTCAAAGTCTTCTGCGCCGGGAGGCTCCTTCAATTGGTGATCAAGGGAAGGGACCATGCGTTCCGGCTCGCAGTAGTAGCAGAGAAGCTCGTAAACTTGCAGCGCAACAGCAGAGCGCGAAAGACATGCTACGATGGTGGAGGCACAATCAATGAATGCGGAGGTAGCTACCTTGAGAGCTTGATTGATGAGGAAGGTTACGGTAGCCGCCCCGTAGGTTTCGTTGGGGTGGTCTGTGAATCGCGTCCATATTGCGGCAACTTGCTCAAAATGACTCTCACTGTATCGCTTTGTGAGGGTAAGGAGATGATACAGGATGCGGCTGCTGGCTGGAGATGGATGTAAACGTGCTTCATTGTCGGGGTCAAGCGTGAGTTGTATATTTGGGACCCAAGACTCGAGGCTCTGCAACAGTAGAAGGGCAACCCTCTCGTTTCCACTACGAGGCATGCGCATCAGTAAGGTAGCCATCTCCGTAACCACATCGTTAGCGTGATTGGGGTGTTCGCCGGAGAGACATTCGGTGACTAGTGGATGTACGTGCAAATATACGCTGCTTAAAGGATTGGCAGCCATAGCCTCAAATTCGCCAAAAGACAGGACGCCAGAGGAATGCTCATGCATGACCTCGAGGAGCATAAGAGATTTTCGTCTAATTCCAGAATCAGCGTGACAGAGGTTGGTCAAGCCTAAGCATATGATTTGGGCGAAAGTGTATGAGCTGACATCCACATTGCACACGACCTCGGACAGAACCTCGAAGAAGGTAGAGCTGCTCGACGATGAGTCATTCGAATCGATGAAAGAGCGTCGAAGGACCTCGCCGAGTAACACTTTTATCCGCTTTTCCGGAGGAGATAAGGGAACGAAGGGCTTTTCTACAAAGGAATGAGTAGATAGTACATATGGAAAGGGTGAATAAGCACCTTCCACATATGACGACTTGAGGGTAAGAAGATTGAAAGACATGATGAAGGCGGTCCAGGATTTGTGCAGCTTCCAGAGGTTTCGGATGCTCCTGAGCGCGATCCGAAGGTGATGAGGAACCAATGGTTTCAGAAGGATAATATGCCCTTTGCTGCTACCATGTCAGCTACGAAGAATAACACATGAAGTGCTTTGCTTACACAAAGGGCAGCGAGGGCACCCACAGCTGCGTTAGAGAGCAATTTAGTCTCGTGTTGAAACCGTTCAGCCGAGTCTGACTCGGCTTGCGGGTCATTCACAGCCGCAGCCGCAGCTCTTTGCATGAGGATGTATCGCTGCTTTGATGATTCGGACTGAACACCATACTGGCACCATTCTTCACAAAGCCTGTAAAGAGTCGCATACATGTAGGGTGATACGAATCGTTCCGAGTCAGCGAGGTTCGCCAGACTATCGAAGAACCGTTCGATCAAACCGCAGAAATAGCGGCGCAGGCGCTGGAGTGCGTAGTTGTCACGATTCTCTGTAGTAACGAGGAAGTTTTGCATGTTCCGAATGAATTTAAGCGCATATGAAATGGCGTCTTGCTTTGCAGAAGATCTCTGGTGCTGCAGCTGAGGAGCAGTGAGGAAGTAGATACGAGCAACAGCCGAGTGCAGACGAGCTTGACGTCGTGAACGTCCACTCGACCCAGGAGATCCAGATTTCGACCGGATGTCATCATGAAATTGAAGGAAAGTAAAGTGATTCAGGTCTTCCAAAAGCTGCGAGAACCCACTGGAAGGGAAAGAGCTGATGCCGACTACAGCAGCATCACGAAATGGGGCATATTCCACATCTAAGAATGGTGTCAAGTACTTGAAGAGGCAGCGTGTGGTTGACATCCGCTCGTGCTCAAAAGTAGGGTCCGAAGGAGCTCGCGAATGTTCCCGACCAGCTTGGGCGGGAGTACCACCGCGGCTATCAGATACAGCGGCCGTAGTACACAGGATTTTGATCCACAGATACCATTGATCGATCAAATTCATGTTGTCTTTGACCTGCTTGTACCCCTCTTTGTCGGCAGAGCCTGGCGCCCTAGAGGCGCCAGACGGTAATCGTCCGCTGAGAGTCGAGAGTCCGGCAAGGTGCAACATTGAAGGATGGTAGCGAGATGCTGCAGCCTCGATCATGGCACGGCAGTCCACCGCAACTTTCAGCGGTTGCTGGAATGAGGCTTGGATGAAGCTCGGGAAAACACAACGCCATATTTTCTTGTCCTTGTCATAGTTGCTATCAGCGATCCTTAACAGCACGTCCTTTCGCCCCGCCCGCCTCCACTGTTGCAGGCGGTCCAGTTCCGAGCCATCTAATAACTCGTCAAAGCCCTGGAAGTGATGATTCTCACGAGCATCACAATCGAGGAGTCCGTTCAGAAGGATTGAAGAACCCGCATAGGCACCCTCGACCGCGTCTATGTGAGCAACGAATGGTGCAAGTATGCGGATGAGCTTAACCCCTGCACAACGGACGGTAGAAGCTTCGAGCGATAACAGAAACAATGCTCCTGCAGTGATCCCGTCTCCTTGAAGGGCAACGGCCTCCCTTTCACCAGCTGTGATGTCCGCTTTGGGTTTCTGCAGAATACCTTTGACCCAACCTTCCACCAGGCTAATCCAGAAATTCAGAAGTCGAGTACTCTCGAGGACAAGCCGTGCACCGGTTCCCTCCCTCCCAACATAGGCAGGATCAAATAGGAAGGTCGTAAAGTGGCGCAAAACTGCAGGCGCATACCGCCCGTCAGCCATAAAGCGCCTCAGCGCCGCTCCCGCCGCTTCTCCAATCCGAGGCTCAACATGGATAATACCGCGGATGAGTATATTGATAGCGTCCGTGAGTGGTAAAGAGGCGTGCAAGCAGCGCGGCCACGATTGCAAACATGTCTGTAGCATAGATATCTGCGACACGAGATGATTGGGGTAGGCAAAGGACCCTTCAGGACGGCGGCAAATGACGATGTTGTGGGACTCTTCATGGACAGAGTTAAACCGCGACAGCGACCACTGTTCATCAAAGATAGACATTTGACCCACAGACTGGCTCGCTGACCGTGCGATCGCCGTGATTACAGCTCCATATCTGTCAAGCAGCTCTTGAACTCCATGTCTGGATACCACTGCAGCCGGAAGAGCGTCGGAAGATGAAGGATAATCATCCCAAGATGGTACAGCAGTGAAATCGACACTAGACGGCCATGTAGGAGCTGACTCCTCGCGTTCGAAGGCGTTTAAAGTCAAGAGGATAGCCTGGGCCGATACAGCAACGCGTTTCAGGAGCCAATATACCCATGAGATTACTTATGGATGAGGAATTCACGACAGCTTCCTGAAGTAAATCCATGCAGAGTCCCAACCCATAGTCGAAATAGCGCGACAAGACAAAGTGCACGATGCAGATGAAAGGTTCAAGATGCTCCTCGTGATGGAAAATTGATGACCGTCCAGCAGGGAATATATGTTTAAGGAGGGAGTCCAGCTTGGTGGTGCTAGTCGCTAACGGCTCCTGGCATCGATACAGGTATGTCCAGATCAATCGAACGATTCCATTCAGGACAGGAATCCGATGAAGCTTCTCCTGAATCAGGAGTCAGCAAGAAAAGCGCCTAGCTAATCGAATTCGAACCTTCATCTTTGACAGCCCATATTCAAAGCAAGCCGTCCAGTTGCGGAGGAAGTATTGATGAGGCGCAACACAAAGGCTGGTGACAGCCAACGGGTAGGCGATATGCCAATACCGCGGCTTACTCATCATCTCCTTAGCCCGAGGATAGATCCTTTCGATTGCCTTTTCCCATTGTGGATGATTGACTTCGGCCTGCGCCGTCTTGAGGTCATGTTAGCGTGTGTCAGTACCAGCCAGAGGATAGGAAATACCTTTCCGATGGGGTGCAAGAGACGAGTCAATGTATCGGCGAAAGCGATCTTGAACCGAAGACCATGCGCATTTGCAAAGGACTTGGCTAATAACTCTAGAAACTCGGCCCCTTCCTCAAATGCCTCTGGAGGCCATACCTAGCTGACACATGAACACAAAAAGACAGAGAACAAGATGGTCCTCACTCTCAGCTGAACGTGACGGAGCCCCTTCACCAGATGCTCGTACTTCGTATCGAGGTCTTTCGCCACCTGACCATTGGCCACAGGCTCGAGCTCGCAAAGAAAACGATCCGTAACACTAACAAAGCTGGCGGAGATGAGTTTGGATGCTGATACACCAACGACGCCATGCTCACCGAACGTTTGCTAAGTGTCCGAGCAACGTGGCATACAGTTCAGCATTAAGCCGATGATTAGCTGACTGTGCAAGGAGCTTCAAATCCGGTCTCTTGAATTGCTCGAACGTTGTTTCCTCCAAGGTAAACCCCAGCGTATCACCCAGTGCGTCTTTGGACAAAATGGACAAAACGGCAATCAGAGCGCGACACATGATATATATTGACGCCAGCGACTTTCGTTCATTCAGCAAGGTAGGCAGTTCTTGAACTCTCGCGCCACGTGTCCATAAAGGCGATTGGCTAGCATGATGTTTAAGTATGTCGGCGCTGACATTTTCATTGTGACTGCGTCTCCAGCGCATAATTGAGTCTATGACGGGTTTTGGATGTTTCTGAGCTATCTTTCCTAAAGAGCCCATCAGGTCATCAAACTTAGGATCCAGCGAAGGACCCATGAAGTTCGACAATAAAGGTTCGTGGTCCTAAGGGCGTGTGAATGTCATTGCCCGACCAATTCGAAAAGAAAGCAAATACCAGTGTTTCACGAAGGAACACGTTCATCTTTGCCTCAGCAAGAGTGGCAAACCGAATAAAAACTGCATGCAGTGCATAATCGGATGGCATCTTAGGACCCGATGACACTTTTTCATCTTCCTCCATTATTGAGGGCCCATCACTACTGAACATCTGAGCACCAAATGTGTCAGGCACACGGGGAACGGGAGGAGGAGAGGAGAAGCCGGGAACATGATCACTCCCGGTGTCCGAGTTGTGAAATATTGACCCAGATTGAGAATGATGAGATCTTGCAGTGGAATGCCCTCTTGCTCTTGATGGAGCGCGGGGACGTGATTCGCTAGATCCAGGTGTCGGAGGGCGAGGATGCGGTGGACTTGTAGCACTGAATGTCTTATTAGATGTCAAGGTGGAATGAGGCAAGGACGAAGTCGAGCGGTTAAAAGGGTTCTTGAGAATGGGATATGCTTGGTAGTCTAGGGGAGGTAATGGTGGCACATCAGTGTTCTTTTTGAATGCGTTTCTGATAGATGCAAAAGATGGCTTCTTGGAGAACGGAGAGCTTGCAGTTATAGAAGGTTGAGTCGTATGTGAGCTCTTGCCAGTCTGACGAACAGGTTGCGAACTAAAAGAATCCTCTGATGCTGCAGAATCGCTACGACTATGAAAGTAGCTTCGGTCGCTACGTTCCGGAAGTGCAATGGGGGTCATCATGGTTGGTGAATCTGGGCCTGATCCTGCGTTTCCGAATGCACCAAAGCCATATCCTCCAGACCTGCCGAAGGGTATGGGAGTGGATTGAAAATCATCATCATCAAAGTCTGGACAATTCAAGATTAAAAGCTTCTAGCGGAGTAGATGCATGGTTTCTAACCTGGTATTGTAATCTGTGATACGCCCTCTGGGCTCATGATTCACTGCAAAAGCGTCCCAAAAAACAGCAATGAGTTTTGAATCTTCACTGGGGAAGTTGTGAGGTGGAAACAGCCAGGCCGTAGCTTTGCGACGGTAGTGAGGCTCCACGCACTAAAAGGCTTATACGTCCTGTCCGAGGCCCTGCCCGCTGCGTTTGACGACCGTCGACGAACCAGAGGAACAACGAGTGACCGTGAGAACTTCGTGCATATATCAACATTTACTAGTATGATGATTGATGTAATGTACTAGTACTACTTGTAAACTAGGCTACAGTAAGTTCAAGGAGTTCATATTACCCTGTTATGAGTCAGTCAGACTTTACTCGGTTCCTTCGAACTTCAAACCCTGAACCAACAAAATCCGGATGGCACGGCATTCGCAATGAAAAGACTCTACTCAACATGTTTGCTTCAGCTTAATGTTGCAGCCATCACTGGGTCTTTTCATTCTGAATGCCGTGAGGGGTCCGGAGTCCGGACTTTGTTGGCTCAAGGTTTGAAATTGTTCGAGAGAACCGAGTAAGGTCCGACCGATACTTAGCAGGGTGGTACCAGAAACCGAAGCCTACCCCAGACCTCTCTAGCTCCCTCTAGTGACTACCGTTAGTTTTATCCATGGCCAAGTTTTATGATGAGATACCTGAATCTCTCATCGAATGGATCAAGAAACAGCACATGTTTTGGGTGGCTTCGGCTCCCTTGAGTCCTGACGGACATGTAAATCTCTCCCCCAAGGGCACAGCGGATAGTTTCCATGTCATGAACTCTCGCCGAGTTTGGTATCAGGATTTGACCGGGAGCGGTGAGTATCACATCATCCAATTTTCGTGCTAGCTAACTGTGCGAATAAGGAGTGGAAACGATCTCTCATATCAGGGAGAATGGTCGCGTAACAATCCTGTTCAATGCCTTCGAGGGACCTCCCAGGATTTTGAGATTGTTTGGAACAGGTACTTACAAGCAGAGGCCTTGCTTCAATTACATTCTAACATCCGAGTGTAGGAACTGTATACGAATATGGCACAGAAGAATACGAATCTCTTATTTCTCCTGAGACTCGGAAGCCGGGTTCTCGTGCAGCTATCGTCATCGATGTGTATCAGTGTCAAACGGTAGCCTATCTTTTATCTACTCCGGTCTCTTTCGATCTGACAGTTTCGCTAAGACATGCGGATATGCTGTTCCAATCTATGACTTCATTACACATCGCACTCAACTCCTCCGAATGGCCGATATCGAAGAGTCACGCGACCGCGCTTCAGATCCAGTCCATCAGAAGGGTCTCAAAGCATATTGGGTACGAAAGAACTTGAGAAGCGTGGATGGCCTGCCTGGTTTGCTCACAGCACCTGATTCCAAAGTAACGCTTGTCAATAATTTTGACAAGGAAGGTCAAAGACCGAAGTTGCAACATTCATCTTCGAGAGAGGGGAGCGCCCAGAGCAACGGTGCAAATTTAGCCATTAGTTTTGCCCTTGGTGCCTTGGTCGCCACTACCCTTCCTTACATCCTGTCTGCTGCCCGAAAGTCTGATATGTTCACTACCCGAGCTTAATGCGTGCCCATATGCACAGTGCTCTCCTTCCGTGTGTGTACTTGTCATTCTGCTTCAAGTTTATTGACACAACTGGCTTCCTGTACCCTTGACATTATTGAACCGTATCTTATCTAGTCTAGCTACGCACGTTTTTGTGTATTACGAGATGATGGACATAAGGTGAAAAGCGGTTTATCGCATCAATCTTTATCAGTCTCGTGCGTACACATTTGTTTTGATGGAATACGTGAACGACTGATTGGCTCTCCCCACTCTCCCATAGTCTGACCTTATAAAGAGACAGTAATTCCTTCGATCTGATGCATGTAATACTCAACGGCACGGTTGAAATTGACTCCGAGTCACCCCATGACTGGATACCATGCTCAAGAGGTTATAATTAGGCCATCACAAACACCGATATGACCTAGTATTTAGGTCAGCTGGCACCAAGCTGATCAGATAATCCCCATGGCTAAGTACTATGATGAAATACCTGAATCTCTTATCGAATGGGTCAGGAAACAGCACATGTTTTGGGTGGCTTCAGCTCCTCTGGGTCCTAATGGACACGTCAATGTCTCCCCCAAGGGCACAGCGGATTGCTTCCATGTGGTGAACTCTCAGCGAGTTTGGTACCAGGATTTGACTGGGAGTGGTGAGTGTCTCATTGTTGAATGATTTTCATCTTATTTGACTGTTGGGTTAAAGGTGTGGAAACTATATCTCATATCAGAGAGAACGGTCGCATAACGATTCTGTTTCACTCCTTCGAGGGACCTCCTAGGATCTTGAGGTTGTATGGGATAGGTACATGATAACGCTACTTCCCCTGTGCCAATTACATTCTAACGTCTAGTATAGGGACTGTATACGAATTTGGCACGCAAGAGTATGAATCTCTTATCCCTCCTGAGACTCGTAAACCGGGGTCCCGTGCGGCTATCGTTATTGATGTATATCAGTGTCAAACGGTAGTATTTCTGATTCAGCCTGGTTCTGGAGTTGGGTCTAACCATTCCGCTAGTCCTGTGGATACGCTGTTCCAATCTATGACTTTGTTGCGCACCGCACTCAACTCCTCCGATCGTTCGACATGAAAGAGTCACGCGACCGCGCTACTGCCTCCACAGAGATTAATCCGAAGGGCCTTAGAGCATACTGGATGCTAAAAAATCTCTCAAGCGTGGATGGTCTTCCTGGTCTGCTAACAGCCCCTGACTCCAAAGCAACATGTCTCAGCATTTTTGACAAGGAAGGTCCAAGACCGAAGTTGAGCCGTTTGTCTTCCGGGGATGTGGACGTCCTGAGAACCGGCGGGACTTTAGCGGTTGGTTTTGCAATCGGCGCATTGGTAGCTACTGCCCTTCCTCGCATCCTATCCGTCACTGGAAACTTTAGTATCCGAGCATAATGTGTGGCAATAGTATGGATACCATTTCTACTTTATTTCCATGTACTCGCAGTTGCATACCTTTGGACAAGTTGTATCATCTTGTGCACTTTAGCTATACACTGGGATGATGCCCGAAAAAATCACTTTCTATTCGTGGAAGCCATGATGCCCCGACGGCTCAAGATACAGTCTCGAGAGTCACATGACCCTTGTCTAATTTCTCCACATCCTCGTCCGTAGAATCACAAGAGGCCGAAGGCGGTATCACATCGTCGGGCAAGACAGCCTTCTCTACATACGTGCCCCGGGCCGGGAACAGCGTCGAGAGGACGTAATAAACGATGAATGCTGACCAGAACTATCAAGAAAGGGGGAAGTGACAGTGAGTTACGCGGGTGAATGTAATTAGTGCACGCACTCCAAATATCCACCCAATGGCAAATAAATTATGGATACCTCCAACGTTGATGGACGGCTTGATAGAGTGAATGAGCCCAGGCATAGCTGGTGTAATGCAAATCACGAGTGTTGCCAAAGCACGCCAGTTCTATCAACGAGCCTCAGCCACGTGCACAATCCGGAAATCAATGCTAGCCAATGGGGATGGGCTTACCACTCCATATGTATAGCGGTATCGACCATCAACTTGGTACATTGCTGGGACGTCAATTTTGCCCTTATGGATTAGCCAGTACTAACAGAACTTCATTCAGTTCAGTGTGCGCCGATGACAATTAGTTCACTTACATCGACAATCATAATTCCAACGAATGGTCCAATGAAAATGGTGTAGCCACTCAGGAATGACAGAAATCCGGATGCTCTACAAATGAATGAGTAAAATAAGAGCACAATATATCGAGTCAACAAACTTTGCCAGAACTTCCCAAGGACAGAATGCCCATCCACCAATGAGTGCACATATAACTTGACCGCGTCGTATATTGATGTATTTTGGAAAGCAAACTGTGAGGTCGTTAGCAGCCACGAGGGCATTAGCGCTAATATTAGTTCCGATGGTCGTCAGCAGAAATGCGAACGAGGCAAAGAACGCTGCTGCTCGGTTGTCCCATTGGTTGATCAGCTGTAGTGGATCCCACAGGGCCGAACCATAGAGAACAATTCCTGCACTCGTCACGGCCAGTCCAGCGAACGAACAAAGCGTGAACGCCACCGGAATAATGATAGCCTGTGAGTACTGTCTATTGTTTAATTCGAGTCAGGAATGTTTCGTGTACCCCAACCGAAACGAACTAACGCTCTCTCATGTGTGGCATATCGCTGTTTGAAGATAAATACAATGTATTGAAGGATGTCATGTGGTCACAAACCGTAAAATCCGCAATATTGACCGCATAACCACAATAAAGACTCAGCGCACTATTAAGTGCCGTCAGCCAGGCCCAGGAGAGGTCAGAGCCTTGCACTGAAGCATGCTGAGAAAACAGTCCGACTGAAGGAGGAACCTTTATAAACGCCCAAACGACCATAGCAAGCCAGGCGAATGGAACAATCACACCCTTGGCCATGAAGAGATAACGGATTTGCTGGGGAGACAGCAGCATGAATGGAAATTGGAGGAGCCAGTAAAGAAGGTAACACATCATGCCTGGCCACGTTGATTATGATTAGCAAAGTGCGTGCGTTCGAGCAATGAGCACTTGCCGACGCTGGTAGTGTTTGACGAAGCCGGTATGTGATTCGGAACATTGGCGACAGATGGCCATATGGCCTTCAGCATCTGAAAGGTTACGCTGTTGAAACATGTTGTTCTTCCCGAAAAAGTAATATACCTGATAGATGCATTCAGAACCGTTGTATGTCTGTTCATGTTTTGTTAGCAGAACTAGAAAGAGCGCCACACATGGATTTCAAATGCCCTACCTGAATTCCAAACCAGGACATTGCAATTATTCCCCGCGTAATAACAGGGAAGTAGCTAAACCAAAATCCGAAAGACGACCTGCTAAGGACCGAGAATGGAACCCTCAGGCGGGTACCGATGGTCCCCGTGAGAAGTATCGGAACAGCCGTTATACTGTACGCAACAACAATGGCAGGCAAGGCCTGTCTCCTGTGTTCAGAGAGTCAATCCTACTCGAAATATAATAGGTGAAAACTCACCAGGAAAGACCAATAGCTAACATAGAGCTCGCAACCTATCTGACGTCAGTCGCAACCGGTTGCCGCATCTTTGTTGAACTCGCCTCCCAGACAGCAATATTACTGGCATCAGAAAACCAGTATGATACCTGGAAGATATTGATGTTAATTTGAGCTGTCTAGCTAACTAACTTCCGTCACGAACATAACTCCATGAACTAATTAGTACGAACATTATTTGACCAGACTGGTCAGACGTATTGGGAAATCACAGCAAGAGATGATGCTTACCTCCATGTTCGAAAGTGCAGAGGCGTGGGGTCCATATCATGATTACTCCATCTATTGTCTGTCGCAAACGCTGTATTCTCGAGCTCAAGCTCCCATGCTGAGAGCTTCAACCACGAAACGGTCATAAGAGCTAATGGCGATGGTATCTGAGACGACGTATCTCTGAACAGGTATATACCGTGGACACTGGCATATATGTGTGCAGAGATATTTGTGTCTCGATAAGAACGCTTTGTATCACAAGGGCGAATGGTATTTTCGTTCGTCAGCTCTGACCAAAGTGATGATAGTCAGAGTGAGAGTCGCTGGTGGGGAACCGATGAGGTATGTGCGCTCACGCTGGCATTACAATGTGCTCAGAGTTCACTGATTTTCATGACCAAGGTTGGGCAGGCCTAGATCAAAAGGCACAATAGCCACAAGCAGCCGTATCTAGACTCTGCAAGACTGCTTGGCGGGCCGCGGCTCAACTTGAAGCAGGTTTATCAATGTTTGAAGTAACGTGATGGGGAGCCGCAGTTGTCACGTACGTAAGATAACGAAGTCACGTTAGCCTAGTCCCTCACGACATCGCCCAGAATAATATGCAGTTATCTGATAATGGTAGTTCTACCAGCAATGGGTCTACGCGATACAAAGCAGTGCTGCGATAGTCGTCAAGTAAGCAATACAGGGCAAAAGAGACCGAAAAATTGCAAGGAGAGACAGCAATGCAGGATTCCATAGCGAGTGTGGTAACTAGACATGAGAGCGGGGGCAAGACCGAGGATACGCGAAAACCCGAGAAATATGAGATCGACTGGCGATCACCAAGAAACAAGGGGAGACGTCGAGGTGGACAAGAAAAGAATCATGAGGTCACGTCATGTTTAGGAGTATGGTCCCGGAACAAGTAGGTCGTAGTGCAATGAAGAAGCAGGTATCCGGGTATCACCGTAGCACGTTCAGCCTTTGAGCCAGTTTTTGAATCAAATCTTCATCAACGCCAAACTCCCGGGCGATGTCGTTATATTGGCTGAGTGCAGGAACAGTGCTGTGAGGGCTAGGAATGGAAAAAGTGGCGTATGGACTAGGGGCAGGGATATCATTGTCACGAATGAAGACGCCGCTGTCAGTGCGGAAGTGCCCGCCAGGCAGTTGGAAAGCAGGGACAAACGGCGGAGCAGAAGGTCTCGCTAAGCTGGAAAGCATCTGGGCTTGTTGTGGTGCAAAGGCTGTGGATAATGGCGCTTAGTAGCAGTTCCAAAAATATCAGCGAAATAATACCTTGACAAGTTATCGCAACTTGAAGAAGCTCATCCAACAAACGGGATCCTTCCGTTATCGCATTCCCCACCCCTGTCATAAGAAGACCCAACGCCGCTACAGGATGTCAGGTCACAGCTGGTCAAGTTATATGAGGAACTCACAGTAAGTCAGATCTGCATGAAAAGGACGTTAGAATACTGCTTGAAGCATGGCTAGGATGGAGAACACATACTAAACAGGTTGTCTCGGAGGTTGTTGGTCCAGAATACTCTACCATCAACGTTCATGGGGAACTTGGATAGGATGCTAATAAGGAAATGGAAGGGAAGAGAGGGGACTTTGAGGAAGTGCGACTATCAAGAAGCCTCGGTGAGCAACATAACAAGTGGAACCAAAATAACATACATCAGGTGACTGCACAAGATGCAACAAGGCCTTGAGTTCCCCCTCGGTCATGATGCCCGTCTCGAGCGCCCCCCTGATCTGATCATTCCTCAAGCCACTGAATGATGGCCTGGACCCTTCGAAGCCGCCTTTCCATGTCGGAAACAGCTGCCAAATGTTTGTCAGTTTTATGGAAATTTTATATCACGAACATCGTACAGAACGCATCAGCTCTTCCTGTGAGCTGCGAGTGACGGTAACCCCCCGTGCACGCTTGCCTTTGCCAAGGACAGAGTTTTGCACGCCACGCAGAGCAGCCCTCGCAAACTCCTCCGTGCCAAATTCAACAAATGCATGGCTGAGGGTTTTACCCCGTGGATCCAATAGAACATGCACTCGGACGACAGGCTGCTTGAGCCAGGCCATGATAGCTGGCGGAGTTATATCCTGCGACAAATTAGATGCGCCACAAACCCGGAAGTATGGACCCACCCAAGGCACATTGTCGACGCGAAGAACCACGTTCTCGACTCTTTGTTGCTTAGGGGCTGGGGTAAAGTTGGGAGGGGACAAATCCCGTTGAAAATGGACAGGGAGTTGGTCCACGTGTGGCGCAAAAGCTATGGGCTCAAAGCTGGGTAAAAGAGGTCTGTTGGCTCTGACGGAGCGTCGTTGCAAAGGGGAAGAACTGGCATCTAGTGGAGTAAAAGCGGATGTAAAATTAAAATGCTGGGGTGAAGATGAGACCATTGAGCTGTCATCGAATGGCCGGTTTTGAAGTTGGAAATCTACGACGGACTCCTTGCAAACAGCACATTGCATGGCTTTTTCCCCGACGATGTTGAGGGCACTTGTAAGGCATCCTGAACACAGAGGGTGTTCGCACGGCTTGAGGACCGCAAATCGACCACCGTCACGACCGCAGACAGAGCAGGCCGTTGACGAGGTGACGGTGGCGTTCGACTGCATATTTGCTTGGAAAAACGACTCGCCAAAATGCTGTGGAACACACTCTGTAATCGTCGGAAGACCGGAACCGAAAAATGGGTCGTGCAAAGAGAAAGATTCAGCTGAAGGGAATGACTGAGGGTATGGCTCAAAAGTGTTCTCGTCGATGTCGAAGAGCTCAGTAGACATCTACATATAGAAAGCGGTGTACCGTATCAGCTAATCAATGGATACAGATCAGTGAGAAACGAGTCACTAACCTGCCCAAATGAAGGCCGCCGTCTTGTGTGCGCGGGATCAGTCAAGCTTCCTTTGAATTTCAACTGGCTGACGTTTGTTGGTTTTGGTGGCGGTGTATTCAGCACTCCGAGAGCGCGGCGAGCAGGGGTTCTGAGAGCATAGGGTGAAAGCGGAGTGCGAGGTGGTGCTGTACTGGAGATTGTCCGAGACCGCCGATGAATTGCAAGTAACGGAGGGGGGAGAAGTGCTGTATAACAGTTTATCAGTAGTGTTCAAATAGAGCATTTTATGGCAGTGACAAACCTTCCTCGGTTACGAAACCAGTACAATTCATATCAGAATGGGTCAAATCGCTGGCTAAATGCGCATATATGCATAGTAGGGTCCAATTTAGTCCGTGGAGCAGCGTAGTAGGACAGCAATAACAACCAAAGTTTCATAACGATAATGTAGCTGCATGAGTCACATGCAGCAATTAACGGATGTATGCGCACCTTCATCATCACCATAATTAGAGTCGTCTGCACTCGAGACCTTAATGCCGTGTTCATTGGCACGTGAGCGCCAATTCTCAGCAATATCCGCGAGACTCTTGTCCACCAAAATTGCATCATTTTCAGCAGAAGGAGATGCAGCGTAACGTTTAATAAGACTAGAAGCTGATCCCGGGGTGGTTATAGTCGAACTTGATGCAGTCGAGAATGAACGGAGGCTCAATGGTGTGTATGGTGTAGAGTAGGTGCTTGCGGGGGTAACTGGCGATCGATACGAAGCCTTTTGGGGGCGGACTAAACGTTGGGGAGTCACTGGTGCTGCAAATAGCCGCTCTGATCGGTTCAGACGAGTATAAGCGGGTGAGGTAGGGGCAGAAGCGGGTACAGTGGGAACTGAAAGCGAGTGTTTATGCATAGTGGCTATTGGTATCCATGTAACCAATGCACGGTAAGAAGCAAGGAAACAAGAAAAGACATTGAAACCAAACACCTTTGTTTGTCCAGGCTCGCAATAAAGGAGGCTATGCACGAATGGAAGAAACACCGAAAGTCTGGGTGGCTCAGAACAGGATGTTACGGTTGCCCCTTGCAACGACGGAGTCCAATATTTTCCTTAATGATACGAACCTTTTCTTGTTGTGAATCAAAGGCAGCTAGTAGATGATGATCGTGGTTGGGAAGAAAGATGGTGTCCCGACTCCCGAACGACGACCAAAGTGAAAATAACAAGCTGAACTCGAAAGAAACTAATACAAGCTAAAGCGTGTGGGAACATGCCTTATGACGGGCGCGTCGCGTAACAAGTCACGTGCATTCTGACCTATTCACCCTGAGTCTGACGCCGCTCCATGCTTTTCTAAAATTTAAATGGCTTGTGATCAGATCACCTATTCCTGTCTGAGCTCTTTTAGCGCTGATTTATCTATGATCTCGGCCTTTTGATATGGAGTTTTCGTTCGCTTGACCGCTTGTCGCAGACGAAAAGAATAAAAGACTGTTATTCTAACAGCCATTTTCATGTTTCGCAGATATTTTGAAATATACCTCACCGACTGGAAGCCAAATCTACTGGCACCTATTCAAAACAATTCTTACGTGAGTGTCTACGTTCTCGAAAATGCAAAGTATCCGACGGACTGGCATCCGTAGCGCTGGCTGGCCGGTCCCGCTTACTCACCGGTCCAGGAAATTTTAATTTGCCAGCTCGCAGTCATCTTCCGATGATTTTCTCCAAGGAACGCTAAAACTTGCCTCCAGCTGATGCGTTGATGATCGGTGCGCTTGCAGTTGGCGTGCCCAGCCCTTCACCGTGACGGTGTCCGATGTCGCCTCTTCAAATCATCCACTTCCAAGTACCAGAACGTGGCCCGGTAGTCCGATGACAATGGGATTACATGCAAACTGTGGAGACCGCGACTGTATGTATATATCCGGGATGTCCCTTCTCTCATGTCATCCGTATTTTTTCAGCGAGCGCAGTCGCAAGACCATATTTTTTATGCTCGGTGTTAAACGAATTTCCATGTACGTCCAAACAGAATATCGGTGTCCGAGAGAAACGTCTCCTGACCGTGCTCCTCAGGGTCAAGCAGCCATCGCTACGGGTATGGTCAGTTGGAATGTCCGTCTCTGTCCAAATTGGTATTGCACAAATGTGGTATGCAATGATCAGTCCGTTAAGTACGCAAAGTCCCTCCACACGGATCCCAGTACTGCACATCTTTATCAACTGCCTGGTTAGTCAGTGCCGATCCCGTTGGTGATCAGGGCCTGCAATGTGCGCCGCAATCGATTTCTGAATTAGTCACTATTGACAGCTCTCTCGTAGCCATCCATCCACAAGTTCGAATAGAACGGATAAGTTGACACTCGTCCCTGAGTACGGGTCCAGTTGGTCTGCCCCTGACTCATCCCATTCACAGAGTGACACATAGGAGCTGACACGGATGCAACGCAACTGAGCCCTCATGTATTAAAGTCCTGAATGTCGGAGTTGTGGGCAATCGGACACCTACCTAGCCATATATATGCATATCACTGGTGACGGAATCATGTCAACGGGTCGCCAGTGACAGGATATAATTCGGCGGTCAGCTAGCGCTTGTTAGCCCAGCCTTGACTTATATACTCGATGAAGACTAGCTAGGTTGAGCTCTAAAATACTACTGTAGACCCATCGCGGCCTCCGAACCTGTCCTGCGAGGGCCGATCCGCTACGTGCGGAAACAATGGACAACAGCATATATGGCGTACATTCCAAGAGTCATAATGTCATTTCAGGAGTGAACAAAAGGTCAAACTAAAGATAGGGTATAGGTTGGTCATATATGGACATAACGATTTTTCAAGATGGGAAATCCGTGAATATTTGCTCCCTTGGGCGGAGCTGGTATCTTTGGTATAAAGAGGCAGTACATCTAGCAAGTGAACAATAAGTGTACAATGAAATGCCTCATTCGGTACGAGGGGGAGAGTGGTGTTACAAGGGTCCGAGGGGGAAAGGACAAAAAACCCAATAAGATGATCCAGACTATGCCAAAAAAATGCGCTGCCTACAAGCTCCAGAGTCTTTGAGCGCCTTGACCAAAATTCAACTCCACACTCTTCAGAGAATTCCACTCGTTTGAAGTAAGGAGCTGTTCGATGGTATCTTGCCAATCCTCGAATTCGTCAGATGCGCATTCCCGTGTGAATGGATCCTGAGCAGCACACACTTGCCGCGTTGACTATGGTGATCCGCTCGATTTCACAAGCGGTCAAGATATTGAGCATGGGAAGAAGGTCATCCAAAGCGACTCGTTCTGCATCCACGTGAAAGTCTGTGAGAATAGGTAGAGGGGAAGCGATAGATTCATCCTCCGCGGCCATCCGATCCTTTCCGAGGCAAGTGGACGGTTGGGATTCACCAAGAGGGATTCCTGTTTCGAATGACCGTAAAACAGGGCCGCAAGCCCGAAGCCATGCCAAACAGGCCTTGCTCTCCACTTCACCGTCCCTGTACATACTTCCGGAGAGCGATATACTCTCCAGCTGCGCAAGTTTCCCTTGCATAGACATGTTTTCATCGCAATCGATCCATACGTCCCTCAGATCAAGTGACTTGAGAGTGGGAAGTTTCAGGAGGCTAGGAATGCAGAGCTCTTCCCCGAGGATAGGGTGCGAAGGGACGTCGTGGTCATTGAGTACCAACGGAACGCCCGGGGGAGAGCAATTGTCTACATGCAATGCTGAACGAGTGACGCGGGACAGGGTGAGATGAGTGAGGGATGGTAAGGATGCGGCAAGGGATACTGCGATACGCTCAGACCTGTGTGCGGAATGCGTCAGACAAAAGCTGTGCAATTGGCGTCGTAATCACATACACAGGTGTAGTCTCTTCTTGACCCCAACAGCCAATCTCGAATTTTTGGACCGTTGTAAGAGTAGCAAAGACAGGTGTGATTGTGGATGCATCAAGTGATGCGGCAAGCGAGAGCGAGAGTGACTGCAGGTAGGAACAAGTGGCAAGGATAGTTGCAAGGTCTTCTGTACAGTCAACTTCTTGTACGAGTGCTCTCTCTGCAGGTTTTGTGCAAATACTAAGACACCTTATATGGGTGCCGTATCTGGCTGGTACGTGCGTGGCGAATGATCGCAGAGCGCTACGAGATGAGATTGTGACATCGGAAAATATTTGAGGTACGAGAAGGTTATATGAAGATCGAGAGGTACGTGAAAGAGCACGAGTATCCTGAGGAGGGAGGAAACGAGCAACAGCTAGATGCAATTCAGTTGGGAGGTTGTTCCAGGTCATGATGGATGGATACTGCTGGGGAAGATGGAATGATCTAGCTGGGTATTTGTAGCAAGGTGTCGATATTGGCATGTTGTGCGGATCAAGCTAGCAATAATTGTGAAGTGCTAATCTCCATCTTCGTCGGGGTGAGTCGCTGGAGTGACACTACTTGCGCTTTTTCGCGTTCCATGGTATTCGGCGTTGTAAGCCATAACTACTAAACTTCTCTCCGAGATCAAAGGAGAGCTTTCATTACCTAATTTGGATATCAATCCCACGATTCCGCAATTCCCCGCCAACCAACTTCTGCCGCGGCGCGCGTTGCTGTGTATCCTTGATTGTCGGCACATCTTCAGACTAAAGTAGTCGAAATCCTAGGACTCTGCATCATAATGTTATCTACCTCCGTTAATTTATCCAAGTCCTATCGTGAGACCGAAGATCATCATCTACAGCATGTAGCTATAATTGTCTCCAAGTTTCCGTGGCCTTTGGCGCCGATATCCCAGTCATCATTAATATTAGGGTCACCTTTCAGCGGCGTTTGAAGGGTGAGGTTTGCCAAGGAGGCGTTCATCACCAGCAACGCCTGATGCAGAGGGGTTGGTGTGGTGTAACCAATCAGTATGTGCTTATTGGTCCATGATTATGTCCACCTGGGTGCCACACTCACGTCACCAATAATACTTTTGATTGCGCCTAGACTAGCACTCCATCTCACCTATGTCCGTCTACTGCGCTGTACACTGGCATAAACAATCACGTGCAACCCTGCCCAATTTGTAGTCAAGGATCGCCCCTGGCTTCAGCCGACCCTGCCCAGGCTAGCCTGCTAACCTGTCACCGCTGGGTTTTGCTGGCATCCCTCTGTCACGCTATTCATCAGTATCAAAAGACGCATCAAGGGACTTTTCCAGGATGCCCCAATCACTCCCGTATATCGGATACTCCAGTATTTTGGCCTTGGCACTCGTACTGCCTTTTTGTTTGGTCACTACGATCCAAATCATCATCGTAGGACCCCATTTCTCGGTCGTGATTCTGGAATGCTACGATGTCCAGATCAGTGGTCGAGCGCCTTTCTCTCGGTTTCGGCGTTTGAGCTCTGGCTTCGCCAGGCTTCGCCTCGGGCTTTTTGATATTATCCACTTGGAGTTTCGTAACCAAGCAGTGGCCTTCCTGCATTATTTGTTCTCTGTGATGAGTCCAGAGCACCTGTCAGTAGCCGCTATTACCCAAAATCGCGCAGGTGGACCGTAGCCAGAAAAATGCTGAGTAGTCCTCACCGCCGACCAACCGGCCCATATATTGCCGTTATTGCTCTGGATTTTCCAGGCTCCGGTTACTAGGACCAGCAAACATATTCGCTAGAGGAGGAACTACTGGCGCCTATTGGAATCCTGCTCCATTACTTGGGCGGGTAATTTTCCCCGGATGGAGTCGGCCACATTGGCCTCCTCAGGATCGACCGACCGCTTGCGATCGGTGGCAGCTTAAAATTAGGTCCTAGTCAATTTCATACTCTATATTTCCATTGTCGACTGACATATTACATGACTTGCAGTATAGCAAATGCTACATTCTCCGATACGCTCCATGCGCAGAATGCATATCTTCCGGAATCATCTGTACATTCCGCGCAGTTTTAGAGCTCCACGATTCGGCCTTGCTGTATACATTCGCCGACAGCAACGCATCGTCATCGACATTTGCAAGTTACCTTCAGTATCACTTAGGGTAAGACTATTACCGCTTTTGGGTGCCGTCGGGATGCCAATTGCACAGGTTCACTACTTGCTAGAACATTCAATTATTCTCCACCACTCACAAGTGCACACAATGCGTGTTGTACGGAGTTGGTCTCGCCGTCGTAGTTCATGTGATGTCAGGCTCTGATGCTGGGAGAATGTTGTTTTTAGTGACGCCACGACCATCACGAAGCATTTGCCACTCGGTGCCTGGTTTCGTCCTCGTTAACGTAGCACCTGGTCTTCGAACTATTCTATCACTCGCTTCGAGAAAAATTACTGTGGAGTCGACTTCCATTCCGGATCCGGCACACCCATTACATCGCCATACGGTAATACCTCGAATACTAAGCCTGCCTCATTTGGGACAGCTTTCTATTTCGCACTCCGCGTGTTAAACATTCGAGTTTCATCTCATCTCATCGTGATGGGAGCTCGAGTCTATCACAATTATAGGCATTATTGGCACATGGCTGCTGAGAAAACTTTTCGTGTGTACGAAATGACTCCAGGTGGCTCCTTCGTAATATCACGCGTGCTAATCACATGCATCATTTTTTAGTGGAGATCAGGTTTCTGAATGGTCTCACACGGAGCGACAGCGCTGGCCTAGTATCTCCCGGTGTGCTTTCGCGAACCTGGCTCGGTACCCTCGGCCTACGTCATGGTCCGTAGATTCTAATGGACCCTAGACTCGTAATCACGGGAATCATTGAGTCCTACTCGCCGAGTCGGTCACTCCGTGGCTTCGCACCGATCGTTTGACCGACTGCTTAACAAGTACGATCCGATTCATGTCTGAATGTGGAGCCTATCACCTCACCGATCATCGAAATTCCGGCTTAAGATTACGACTTTTCACATGCACGTCCAACGTCCAACGTCCATCTCTACGTGTTCCGTACGTCAGAGGCTATACAGATACAAACACCGCATCCGAGCGTAAATTGCGCGTCGATTCGATTGTTAGGGTTTGAGGGCTGACCTTCATACTCGTCCGTGTAGACTCTCCGATAGTACACTAATCACGTACTATGTAGTCCACTATTGTCTCTTTTGATGCTGTAATTAAATGCCCTGATTCTCTTCGTTAAAACCGCCCATCACCTTAATCGACTGTTCTCGTAAATGAGGCGAAGTTGAATTAAGGAACTACACACACTCCGAACGTATAGGATCAAGATTGTAAAGCCCACATATTGCAAATAGATAACACCACAACGGCGAATCCTTCGGGACCTCAGTAGCGGGGAGATCGGGCTCGAGTTGCCCCGTTTAGGTTTAGCATAGAGTATAGTCATATGAATACTCACTGAGCCGCAGCTCTGGCTTTGTAAGTACACCTAGTAATACAAACAAAGACAAATCAGTAGTAGTAGACAGACGTCGAAAACCACACTGTCTTTCTCACCAGTATTCGAGAGGCTCTTCCAAAACATTGAAAAGACACTGGCAGACTCCCCTTGATCGCCACCCGAGAGCACACGTTCCTAAGACATTAATAGGGTAAGCTATAGTTATTATTACAAGGGTAATGACCTACCGTGCGATGATCATCGAACCCACCACGTTGCTTTAGTGCTCGGCTGCCGTTTTTCGTGGCGTTGACGCCAAAAGCTCTGTCTTGACAGCGAGAGAAGCTCGGTCAGCCAGCGGTGGCGCCGGCATCATCCGTCCACTGCTTTGCCACTTCAGAAGGCTAGTATCCAAATAGCTTCGTGGACAGTTGTATACACACGGCGGTCACATTAGGCCTCATAGACGCAATCTCCGGCAGCTCCCAGTCGCTCTGACACGCGCGAGAAGTGTCTACTAGCTGGTCGTGAATTTATGTGCTGATGTCGATATTCGATACGTATGCGAGGTCGGCGAGGACTGAGAGGTACCATTCAGCATCGGCGATGTTGTCGTAGGTGTTTTGAGAACATATCGTCATGATCCTGTGTGAGAGGACAAGACGGTAGACGGTAGACTGAGATGGTGCACCCGGAGACTATGATGTGTTGAAATATGGATTGTACTGCAGACGGAATGGCGGAGGACTCGGGCTCGACAAGATGCTACAATTGTCCAAACACCAACGACTGTAGAAGTCGCATGCTAGAGAATGAAATTCACGAAGAGCGGGTTAATCTCGTTCGAACCGTTGATGACGACAATTCCGAAACCGAAGCCAGACGAGTATGATAGCCTGACTAGTAATCATGGAAACGCAGGGGGAGAGGCACCAAGCACTAGTAGCAAGGACCGAGTTCCTCTTCTCAAGGACAATACCAGGGTCACAGTGAGAAAATTAATTGCTCGTCACTCCGAGCTCGTGGTTGTCGTGTTGTAGCACGCAGGAGTCTATACAGTTGCGGGCCAAATTGAAACACAGGAGAATAATTATATCGAGCCAGGGTCGTGGTGGGGATGGTGGGCGGATGAGGAGATGTGCTCTGTTCAACCGCATTGAGATTTGACTGAGATAAAATATAATATTACATAATATCTTGCACTCTACCACTTGCTACATTGATACCGATGGCTACCAATTCCAAAGTCTTTGATGACAGTAGTTCCATCGCTACCGCACCTCCTTCGTATGACACCGTAATCTCAGCAGATCCCATTCAATGCAGTCAATCATCCGTATTTTCCTTTGGTCGCATGAAGCAGAAACGTGCAGCTGTTCTATCCCGCATCCGATGATATTGTCTTAGCCCCTAATTTCAACCCTTCTTCTGTGACCCCAAATCTCAATGCCTGCGCTGCTGCTCTCCCAGCTGCCGAGCTTTCCAACATCCTGACACAACTCAACATTGAGGGCCACACAGCACTGTATTGGGCAATCGTGAATAATCGGCCACAAGCTCTTTGGGCGTTTAACAAGTTCATTTCCTGCTATTCCCTTGTTTGCACGTCCGACTTGCGCATTGCATGCATGATAACCAGTGACCATGCAATGTTTACGCAGCTAAACCTTGGACATCGTAAGTAGCACACAATAATGTCCACTGGAGAGACCACTTATTTGGATACTAGGAAGTGAACAAATGCGTTTGAGAGGCCTTTTAGGTTGCCCGCCCGATGAAATCCAGGTAAACACATGCGATGAACTCACCAACCAGTTCAATATTGTTTTTGGAATCAGGATGTTCCAAAAACGTCTGCGCACTGCTACTGAAAATAAGTGGCACTACGAATTTGTTGCAGGGGGTGTGTAGTCCACGTCTCCGTCGCTTTGTTCCTTGATTGATGTGATGACACCCCTTGCAGGACGCATATGGTGGCTGCGCTTTATCCTGCTACAGCCTAGTAATGGATTATGGAGCGCCGAGATTGGTCTTTGGGAGCACAGCCAGCCAGCGCGTCTTGACGCTGTACTTTTGATCGAGGCACACAGCCGGAAACCTGGCCGTGCAACCCCACCTGAAGCGCTGAAAATTCCATTAACATTGACAGGCACAAACTTTCTGGCCCTTGCACCTTGGAAGTAGGTTGAATTTGTTCTGACTCCATGAATTGCGGTGCACTGATTGTCTTATGATCCACAATGAACTCTATCCCTTGTGCTTCCGTTGGCCAATGGCTACTAAAGACCCACCGAGCACATTGACTATGTGCCTCCTCCCAAAATGACTTGGCGGATAACGAAAGAGCTGGGCGATTGGGTAATGCACGAGTAAGTCTGTTTATCAATCGAGGAGGCATTTCTTACATTTTTCCTTAATAACTCGAAACTGACTGACGTCGTGCTGTTATAGTACGACTGAATATGTAGACCATGACGGCACCCTACATGCGAAGCTGGAGATGACATTGTTATGAATCCAATAGTGACATTAGTCAATGTAATTGAAGTTCATTCCACTCAAAAAAAGTGCTACAGTTAAGTGCCACAAACGATTTGCATAAGTTCCGCGTGGTGGGCAACATAATATCTCGAACAACGTCGAGCACCCTCGTCGCTCGTTCTTTAGCCTCCAGGAACTAAGACGGACCAAGGTGAGGGTGTCGGGCTGAATGATGCAGTTGGGCTTGCTGGACGGCTGGATGAGCGCGGAGAGGTGCTGAAGGGTGTACATGGTCATGACTGGAGTACTATTGAGTGGCGCTGGATGGTGCGGTTGGGAGTGGTTCGAGAATCGAGATGTGTTTAGGAGAGCAAAATAAGATGTGATGGCGCGCATTTGAACAGTTGGAGTCCGGACCTAAGCTCATCGATGCATCAATCACGATTTCACACTCGACAATTGTCCGAGCACCAACGACTGTAGGAGTCGCATGCTGGAGAATGAAATCCGCGGTGAGCGCGTTAATCTCGTTCGAACCGTTGACGATGACAATCCCGAAACCGAAGCCAGGCGAGTATGATGGCCTGACTAGTGATCATGGAAACGTAGGGGGAGAGGCATCAAGAACTAGTAAGGACCGAGTTCCTCTTCTCAAGGACAATACCAGGGTCACAGTGAGAAAATTAATTGCTCGTCACTCCGAGCTCGTGGTTGTCGTGTTGTAGCACGCAGGAGTCCATACAGTTGCGGGCCAAATTGAAACACAGGAGAATAATTATATTGAGCCAGGGTCGTGGTGGGGATGGTGGGCGGATGAGGAGATGTGCTCTGTTCAACCGCACTGAGATTTGACTGAGATAAAATATAATATTACATAATATCTTGCACTCTACCACTTGCTACATTGATACCGATGGCTATTAATTCCAAAGTCTTTGATGACAGTAGTTCCATCGCTACCGCACCTCCTTCGTATGACACCGTAATCTCAGCAGATCCCATTTAATGTAGTCAATCATCCGTATTTTCCTTTGGTCGCATGAAGCAGAAACGTGCAGCTGTTCTATCCCGCATCCGTGATATTGTCTTAGCCCCTAATTTCAACCCTTCTTCTGTGACCCCAAATCTCAATGCCTGCGCTGCTGCTCTCCCAGCTGCTGAGCTCTCCAATATCCTGACACAACTCAACATTGAGGGCCATACAGCACTGTATTGGGCAATCGTGAATAATCGGCCACAAGCTCTTTGGGCGTTTAACAAGTTCATTTCCTGCTATTCCCCTGTTTGCACGTCCGACTTGTGCATTGCATGCATGATAACCAGTGACCATGCAATGTTTATGCAGCTAAACCTTGGACGTCGTAAGTAGCACACAATAATCTCCACTGGAGAGACCACTTATTTGGATACTAGGAAGTGAACAAATGCGTCTGAGAGGCCTTTTAGGTTGCCCGCCCGATGGGATTCAGGTACACACATGTGATGAATTCACCAACCAGTTCAATGTTGTTTTGGGGATCAGGATGTTCCAGAAACGTCTGCGCACTGCTACTGGAAATAAGTGGTACCACGAATTTGTTGCAGGGGGTGTGTGGTCCACATCTCTTACTTTATTCGTTCATTGATGCGATGGCACCCCTTGCAGGACGCATATGGTGGTTGCGCTTCAAGAAGCTAAATGAGTCGAGTAATGGAATATGGCACGTCGATATTGGTCTTTGTCAGCATAGTGAGCCAGCGCGTCTCAACGCTGTACTTTTGATCGAGGCACACAGCCGGAAACCTGGTTGTGCAACCCCACCTGAAGCGCTGAAAATTCCATTATCATTGACGGACACACAGTTTCTGGCCCTTGCACCTTGGAAGTAGGTTGAATTTGGTCTGATTTCATGAATTGCGGTGTACTGATTGTCTTATGATCCACGCTATCCCTTGTACTTCCGTTGGTCAATGGCTACTACTAAAGGTCCCCCGAGGGCATTGACTATGTGCTTCCTCCCAAAATGACTTGGAGCATATCGAAAGAGCTGGGCGATTGGGTAATGCACAAGTAAGTCTGTTTATAATCGAGGAGACACTTCTTACACTTCTCCTTAATGACTCGAACTGACCGACATTGTGCTGTTATAGTACGACTGAATATGTAGACCACGAGGGCACACTGCATGCGAAGCTGGAGGTGACATTGTTATGAATCCAATAGTGACAGCTAGTCGATGTAATTGAACTCAACAAAAAGTGTTACAGTTTATGTAAGTGCCACAAACGATTTGCATAAGTTCCGACGCTACGCGTGGTGAGCAACAGAATCTCCCGGACAACGTCAAGCAGGCTTGTCGCCCGTTATTGTTAGCCTCCAGGAACCAAGACGGACCAAGGTGAGGGTGTAGGGCTGGATGATGCAGTTGTGTTCGCTGGACGGCTGGATGAGCGCGGAGAGGTGCTGAAGGGTGTATATGGTCATGACTGGAGTACTATAGGGTGGCGCTGGATGGAACGGTTGGGAGTGGTTCGAGATGTGTTTAGGAGAGTAAAATAAAGATGTGATGGCGCGCATTTGAACAGTTGGAGTCCGGACCTCAGCTCATCGATGCATCGATCACGATTTAACACTCGATAATTGTGCTGTAGGAGTCGCATGCTGGAGAATGAAATTCGCGGTGAGCGCGTTAATCTCGTTCGAATCATTGACGATGACAATTCCGAAACCGAAACCAGGCGAGTATGATTGTCGTGTTGCAGGAGTCTATACAGTTGCGAGCCAACTTGAAACACAAGGGAATGATTGTATTGAGTCAGGGCCATGGCGGGGATGAATAACATAGTGGGCGGATGAGGAGATGTGGCATGTTGTTCAACCGCAGTGAGATATAATACTTTGCATAAAACATGGTCTGGAATTTCTTAGATCAGACGTTCAACTTCACTGAGGGTCTAGTCGACTTAGAGCAGGTTTGCTGTATTCAGGAAGTGTGAGAGCCTTTGCGGCACTTGCCGTGGCTTCAATTTGGGCTACTAGGGTTCGGCAATGCCGAATTTGACCTTGCTTGTCTGCACTCTTACTAAGCAGATACACGCAGTTGTGACATCATAATTATCAGCGTCTCCTTTACGTTGGCCATAACGACTTGGATGATAATCATTGACCTAAAACATGGATCGCGATATTGTCAGGCTTTTAAACATCTACGGAGACGTTGGAGCATTTATTTTCGGTGAGTCTGAATCAATGGTTTGTTGTTTGTTTGTTCAAGTTTTTTACAGTGTTCCGTCCTAATGTTGGCAAACCAGAGCTTCGGCTTATCACAGCTGCTGAATTGAACCGGACAAGACGTGAAGCCACTCAAGTAGAGCGACAGGGGGGGTTCTTTTGTGTTTCTAAACACATCAGAGACAAGCCCGTGTTATTTGCGAGTAAGATATCAGCATTTTCAGTTCTAATCACTTGATAATTTGAACAAGATACAGATAATGCTATTGCCAATGACAGGAGCTTAAATATATTTTATAGTGAAAGTGTTGCACTCGCTCAAGCTTTAGTCACCGAAGCAATTGCTCTACCGGATCACCCCTTTGAATCCAGAGGAGGTCAAGTATTCAGGTTTCTGATTCGAGCTGCTATGATGTAGTGCAATGTATCAGTGTTGCTGAAGGGAACAAGTGGTGATTTGTTTATTGATATTTATTATTGTTTATGATCATGTGATTGTATGTTTGAAACTCTGTTCATTTGTGTGCGAGAGATGTCAATGTTAACAAGCCATTCAAGTTCAGTAAGGCACAGTTACAAGTACATTTCAATGGAATACATATACTGACGTTCTTCGGATCTTTTCCTTCTCTTTTCCTTTCGTGGTTTTGCTCTCTTCAATATGCGATCTTTTAGCAGGAGGAACTTTCGGCGGTGGCGGAGTATGGTGAGTCGTGAACTTTACAGGACCTGCACAGGGATCTGATGTATAGATTTTCATTGCACTCTTGCCTCCTTGCAGTATCAAGATTTGTTCAATATTGGTGTGGAACGAGTCTTGCAGTGGAGTGTTTTTTGGCAGGTATGTGTGGTGCAGTGTAAAGTGTATTTCAGTGACAGCGTTGCAGAGCGCTTTGTTGACATTTGCAGGCTCAATGAACATGTCGTTTTTGTCGTAAACAGGGAGTGGCACAGCCTTGTAAAAGGGCTTAATGTTAGCTATGTCATTGCTGAACTTGTCGTCGACCGGCCAGTTGGCAGTTTCTTCATCCATTTTTAGCACCTCACCGGTGCTGTTAGATGTATCTGAAGGATTTTCTAGGTCCTCCAGGAAGACAGTGCAATGAGAAGCTGTGGGCGAATCCGGTACAGCGTGTTCCTTAATCAGGTAAGCTCATTTCAGTTTGAGTAATCAGTTTATGTGGCTTACTCTCTTCTCAAATATGTTTCTCGCGAAGCACATACTCTGAACATCCAGTAACATGTCCTTTTTGTTATGAGAGACCACTATGGTATTCTGGATGTTATTGAGTAGAGCGTGAGTTCGAGCAAAGTCTTCGTCGAATCCATTCTTGCTATGCGTCCGCCCCCCTACAAACTGATACTTGGCTTTTTCTATAGCCCTGAATTTAGGCTCCAGGTAGGAGCCTGTAGGTGTGCATTGCAATCGAAAGTCGACTACATGCATGACACATTCCTATAAAGGGTTCGTCGGTAGACTTATCGGTAAAGATATGTCCAGTTCCACCAGGACGCCACTCTGCCTGTTGCAGGATTTGGGGATGAACTGCATAGTTCGGGTTCTGTTTTAGCGCAGCATGGTGCGCTGCAAAGTCAAAGATAGTCATGGTTGATGGTAAGATGCGAAACATAGGAGAATTTGTGTCTGATGTCATTTGTTGTCACTTGGCATCTGTCATATACCATATATCCGGTTACAGATCCGATGATCTGGATCTCAGATCCGATCCAGATCCGATGAACATATCCGTCGTCCGGTCCACAGATCCGCTTTGATTCTTATTTCATTTCCTGTTCATATAACTCTAACTATCGTTCATCTCCTTTCGGTATTCCTGTACACCGGTATACCGGTTATCCTTTACTTCCGCTATGCTTACTGATCCGCTACACTTACGAATCCGCTTTTACTTGTACTTCATTCCCAGTTCATGATTCGTGATCCATCCAACTTACCAATACGCTCCACTTAGACTTTGCTTATACTTTCGTACATAGCCCCGCACCTTTGCTTATTGATCATTCCGTTAGCTATCCGTAGTATATAAACCTTTGTATATGCGCTGTAGTAGATCAGTTCGAATATCATCTTAGATTGCGCTCATTCCGTCTGGACTCTGAGTCCCTCCATTATCCATCCGGACTTGAGTACGCTACTCTTGTCAACTCCGAGACTTAGGATAGATTCCTATAGTCTACATATCCGCCTCTGTCTTCGGACAGTCCTCACCCGTTAGTTTCTAATCCGGATCCGATCCGGATTGGCCGTTACTCTATACACGCAATACCTTAGCTCTCTGAAATAAGGGGCAAGACTCGGGAAAGGGGCACAGCGCACGAGCTGAGGCCGAAGCCCTTCGGATCCGATACTACTTGAGTACGGTCTTAACAGTATATTCGAACTCATACCTTTCCGAGTTACTTAACATCTATCATGCCTCCTACCAAGACACAAACAACTCTGCACGCGGTCGGACTAACCTCCCTCCGTCGTGATCCGACACCTATAGTCAACACCTTCACCAGTTTCTCTCAGCGCCGTGTTAGTGCCCACGGAACCGCTCAAACCATATCCGAACTCCTTAATCGTCGACACCCGGAAACCCCAACACGCACTCCTGCCGTAGGACCTCCGGACGATGATGATCCCGATGATGGTGATGATGATTTCCCTGGTAATCCACCTGATGATAACGGTGGTGATCCGGATGATGATCCGGATGTTGAGGATGATGAAAATGATGGTCTAAACCCACAAGACCGCGTTATGCTTCGACTCTCAGAAGCCATCGATAACCTTGCTCGCAATAATCGTCGCGCGCCCGCATCCGAAGATTCTAGAGTCAAGGTCCGAGAACCGGATACCTTCGACGGATCCGAACCACGGAAGCTCCGTGCGTTCTTTGTCCAGTGTGAGCTTAACTTCCAGAGCAAGCCTAAGGCTTTCCGTACCGGAAGGGCTAAAGTCAACTTCGCCCAATCCTACCTTAAGGGTATGGCCCTTGAATGGTTTGAACCGGATCTCCTGTCCGATGATTCGGACGACCATCCGGATTGGATGGATGACTATTCCGTGTTCATGCTTGAACTCCAAGCCAACTTCGGGCCTCATGACCCATCCGGTGATGCAGAAATGCAGCTCGAACAGCTCCACATGCACGATGGACAGCGCATCAACAAGTACGTTGTGGAATTCCAGCGTCTTGCTTCACAGGTTCGTGGCTGGGGCGACGGAGCCTTACGACGCCAATTCTACAACGGACTCCCGGCCCGTATCAAGGATGAAATCAGTCGCATGGGTAAACCCCCTACTCTTTCCGAATACAAAGTCCTCGCTCAGACTATCGACGCCCGATACTGGGAACGGAAGGGAGAGATCTCTCGAGAAGCTAAACCCACTTCATCCACTACCCCTAAGCAATCCGCTTCTGACCGGACGAACTCCAATACGTCCGGATCCGGAAATCACAAATCCGGAAACTCCAATGATCAGAAGTCTACAAAGCCATCCGCGTCCTCGAACTCGTCCGCTCCTAAGGTTCCAGATCTTACTTCCAAGCTGGGTAAGGACGGAAAGTTAACGTCCGAAGAGCGGCAGAGAAGGATGGACAAGAAACTCTGCTTATTCTGTGGTGGACCCGGTCATACTGCTCGGGAATGCACCAAGTCTACTTCGCGTGCTGCCAAAGGCCGCGCTGCAGTAGTCGCTCCGGAAGTCAAACCGGATGTCTCTACTGAGACAAAAAAATAGTCCGCGACTCTCCTAGCTCTGTGCAGGAAGAGGGTCGCGTTGACTCTGCCTGCACAAAGGAGTTAAGACTCAACGCTGTCGCGCTCTCGGATCCGACTTCCCTCTGTCCATATGTTTCACTTCCGTTACTTCCATCCGTATCCGAATTTCCAGCTCTTGTAGATTGTGGTTCTTCTCATTGTTTCATAGATACTGCGTTCATCCGAAAACACAAAATCCCTACATATCCGATACCTACGATTCCGCTCCGCTTGTTTGATGGTACTTGTAATAATACTATTTCCGAAGCTATAGATTTGTCCGTCCGCTTTCCGTCCGGTGTAGTCACCTCTGATACGTTCTACGTTACCCCTTTGGATTCATCTTGTTTTATCGTTCTTGGATATAGCTGGCTCACCCGACACAATCCGTTGATTGACTGGGTTTTGGGCAGCATCGAATTCCGGACGACATCTCATGGAATGCCATCGACCCCTCCGACGTCACTTCCGTCCTCGGATATCCCTCCTCCGACGGAAACCATACCTCCTCCGACTACATCCGTACCCTCCGCTGATAACACTGTTCCTAATATATCCCTGATCAATGCAGTTGCCTTTTGCCGGGCCTGCAAGTTAGAAGGATCGGTCCAGTTCAGTATATACCTTCGACCATCAGGTGTCGATCTCCGATCCGCTTCTCTATCGTCCGATCCTCCGGATCTATCCCAAATTCCTTCGGACTATCACGAGTTTGCGGATGTCTTCGACAAGGGAAAGGCTGGTCAGCTTCCTCCACATCGTCCTTATGATCTGAACATAGATCTGGAAGAAGGAACTAGTCCTCCCCTCGGAACTATCTATTCTCTATCCCCGGTCGAGCTTGCAGCCCTCCGGAAGTTTCTTGATGAAAATATTGCCTCTGGACTCCTCCGCTCCTCATCCTCTCCTCACGGAGCTCCGGTCCTATTTGTCAAGAAAAAGGACGGATCCCTCCGCCTTTGTGTGGATTTCCGTGGACTCAACCAGATCACTAAGAAAGACCGATATCCATTACCCCTCATTGCCGACCTATTAGACTCTCCGAGCCGTGCTAAAGTTTATACCAAAATCGACCTCCGATCCGCTTATCATCTCGTCCGGATAGCGGAAGGGGACGAATGGAAGACTGCCTTCCGAACGCGCTATGGCTCCTATGAATGGTTGGTGATGCCGGAAGGTCTCACTAACGCTCCAGCAGCATTCCAGCGCTTTGTCAATAGCGTGTTTGCTGATATGCTGGATGTATGCGTTATCGTATATCTGGACGACATCCTCATCTATTCCCATGACCTTGCGTCCCACAAGCAACACGTCCGAGAAGTACTTCCGTCGACTCCGTAAACATCGTCTCTATGCCAAACCCAAAAAATGCGAATTCCATTCCACCTCCGTTGAATATCTCGGATATCTCCTATCTCCGGACGGCTTAACTATGTCGTCCGATAAGATCCAAGCTATTACTGACTGGCCGGAACCTCGGAAAGTCAAGGATATCCAATCCTTCCTTGGATTCGCAAATTTCTATAGACGGTTTATATTCAACTACTCGGATATCGTGGTTCCGTTAACACGGCTTACACGCAAGGATGCTCCGTGGAACTTTTCCGATGAATGTCGGAAATCCTTCGAAGAACTCAAGAAAGCCTTCACTACGGCTCCGGTGCTTACGCACTGGATGCCGGATGTTCCTATAGTTGTGGAAACCGATGCCTCTGACTACGCTATAGCTGGAATACTATCCATAGTATGTCCGGACTCAGAGCTTCGTCCGGTAGCGTTCTACTCTCGAACGCTAACCGCTCCGGAACTTAACTATGACACCCACGATAAGGAACTTCTAGCTATATACGAAGCTTTCCGGACCTGGCGACATTATCTAGAAGGCTCGGCCGAGCCTGTAGATGTTGTCACGGACCACAAGAACCTTGAGTACTTCGCCACTACCAAACTCCTCTCTCGCCGTCAGGCCCGCTGGTCGGAATTCCTCCATCAGTTCAATCTTGTCATCCGCTTCCGTCCCGGAAAACTCGGAGTTAAACCGGATTCCCTTACTAGACGCTGGGACGTCTATCCCAAAGAGGGGGATAAGGACTACGCTCGAGTTAACCCTCATAACTTCCGTCCGGTATTCACGTCCGAACAGTTAGCTTCGTCCCTACGAGCCTCAACCTTAGCAACTCCGGTTCTTAGAGCAGCTGTTCTAATGGATATTGATGACCTTCGGAAAGACATCCTGACCGCACTTCCTAATGACCCTATTGCAACCAACCATCTTCCGGTACCTTCAGATCCGAGATGGACAGTGGACGATAGGGGTTTCCTCCGTTGCGACAACCGTATATATGTCCCAGAATCCGATAACCTTCGACTTCGCGTCCTCCGTAATACTCATGATCACCCCTTATCCGGACATTTTGGTCAAAACCGAACCCTAGACCTCATCCGACGCGAGTATACATGGCCGGGTATACGCACCTATGTTAAGGACTACGTCCGGTCCTGCACTACCTGCGCCCGAGCCAAGGTTCCGAGACATAAACCCTACGGATTGCTCAAGCAACTACCCATACCGGAAAAGCCTTGGAATTCCATATCCATGGATTTCATAGAGCAACTTCCGGACTCATCAGGCTTTACAGCCATCCTCGTTATCATAGATCGTTTATCCAAACAAGCAATATTTGTTCCGACTCACGATACCATTACCTCTCCGGATCTCGCTCGTCTATTCCTACTTCATGTGTTTTCCAAGCACGGAGTTCCGTCCCATGTCACCTCGGATCGCGGTACAGAGTTTGTATCCCACTTCTTCCGATCCTTAGGAAAAGCATTGGAT